AATGTGGCATTCTGGATTTTTCATTGAGGTTTACGGTAGGCTCTGCCAGGCTCTCGATCAGTATAGATGAGCGGAAAAGGCGAACTAGAAGCGAAAGAAGCACGGGAGCAGCGAAAAACGTGAGTGAGCGAAAAACGTCCGGAAGGGAGAAGGGGAGAGCCTCTGGCATCTTCTTAAATACCTCAATTTGCCCACTACCCCGCCCACCTCGCATGAACATGTCAAATTGTTAAAATTCGCGCGAGTTCGCGAGCTAAAATGCTATCCAAGGCGGCGTTCTAGATTCCATATCTAGGCCATCTTTCAAGACCTGCTGGCTTTGAAGGAATTATACGACATGTGCCCTGATGTCTTGGGACGAAGGTTCCTAGAGTTTCTTTGTTTACAGCAAAATTCGTTGTATCGCGCTATGCGTTTTGCAAACTCTGATGGAATTTAGGGTTTCCAAATCACAAAGTAATTTGCCGCAAAAACGAAATTGAGAATAACTCTTGACTGTTCAAAATAGGAAAGGAAATTGCGATGGTATTTTTGTCAAGGGAAGGAGGGAGACTTTGACTGTTACAAGTTAGGCCGAAGAAGACATTTCCAGGGCTGTCAACTTCCCACGTCATCAAATATTGAGAATTGATAGGGGAGAGATGATAGATGACGTCATATCGCAAGACAATTCGACAAATGACCTCATTTGTGCCAAAAATGCTCGCTGATTCCGATCGACGTATATAGCACATAAACAGTTCATATTTAGCACATTACCGCTTAAATTACAGTGGCATACCAGAATTTATGGGGAAACGTTTCATGTTACAGTAGCTCAAACAACGCAAAATATTTGAAAATTTATGGTCGGAAAGTCGAGTCTACAAGAAATAGCAACTTTGGCGATTATCCGGGAGATATCAGACTCTAATCTGGAGACCGGGAGGTACAGTCCAAAATCTGGATTTTCTCGGATTATCCGGGAGAGTTGACAGCACTGCATTTCGCAAGAAAGATCAGAACCGCAGCACGACACGTCGATATAATTGCCCGAAAAAGGACGCTCACAGGTAACGATCCTTCAAATAAAAACGGATCGAAATCCACCAATCTCAAATTACAAACCATGACCTTTTGAACTCTTTGAAATGAACATCTGTTGCCCAAGAGGTCCGCTAAGATGATTGACAGAACAGAAAAACCTAAAATTCCTTCGAAGTTTGCAAAACGCGATACAAATAATTTGCCGTAATATTGTACGAAACAATGAGCTGAAATGAAAGATTATGTAAAATATCTTGGCTTAATGATTGATTCAAATCTTTCATGGAAATACCACATCGAATCTATCTGTCACAAAATCAGCAAGTCGATAGGAATTATAGCTAAAATTCGACATTATGTCCCGCGTCGTGTTTTACTTTCAGTTTACAACTCATTAATTGTCCCTTACTTGACTTATGGTATTTGTGGTTGGGGAAATTGTGCCTTGACATTTCAAAGAAAGATCGTAACTCTACAAAAACGAGCCTTACGTCTCATTTACTTCAGTAAGTCTAAGGAACACCCGTACCCTTCTTTCTCAAATCAAATTGCCTTCCCCTGCCTAGCATCTTTTTCAGAGATTGTAGCTATTTATTGTATGATATCAACAGACAGACAGCACCAGTTAGTATTCTCAATCAGTTCGTTAAAACATGTCAGATTCATAACTACAGAACAAGATCTGTCTCTAGCGACTCGTTTTATGTTAAGTTCTCTAGAACCGATAAAATGTATGCCTTTTTCACGAGAATCGGTGCCCAAATTTGGAACTCTATTCCGTATTCGATTAAAATACTTAAACGCTCGTCCTTTCGTAAAAAAATAAAGGAATTATTACTAAATTTTTTGCGGTCAGAAGATGATTATGTCGAAGTCTCCCGTCTAATTAAGTTATTTAATACTTTAGGTTAGCCTCTCTCCGTAATCGTTATGTACATGCCTTGTTTTATGTTAGTTTAAATTCTATTTACTGTATTGTAGTGTCTTCACTGTTATTTAGTCCATCTATACATAAATCTTATTTTGTAATATGTTTTCAGCTCCCCCCGCCTCGATTAGTGCATAAGCTATTTGCGGGTGGGAAAGTAATGTAATTAGTTATTTTCCAATTTTCAATAAAATTTGTTGTTGTTGTTGTTGTTGTTGGTCGCTTACGGCCTTACGGAAGGAACCACAGGTCCTCTTCCGAGGAAAGGTCCGGGCACATCTACTTTAAAGAAGATAATTCATTGAATGCAATTTCAAAGTGACGCCATGTGTAGTTCCATGTTGTTACTAAAGTTCTTCGTATATTCTAATAAGTAGCATAGTGCACAGCGAACACAGAGATCAGAGAATGTGTCAAGTGGTTAAAAACATTGGGAAATAATTAAACTTTTAGGCCCATAAAGTGGTCTTGGTCGCTTACAGGAGGTGGTCGTTTACTAGAGGTTTCAACTGTAAGGCTTTGACGGGGAAAATGTTGGTGTTTTGGATTGGCGGTCGCTTATGGGAGGTGGTCGCTTACGAGAGGTGATCGCACATGGAGGTTCGACTGTACTTTAAAAGTATGATCAATCAAATATTAAAATTTATTAAAAGAATAAGTAATTTCATCCGGAGATGATCCTAAGAACTTTAAATACAGGTTTATTACTATTTACATGTAACTCTTTAAAACAAAGGAAATTGATTTTTAACTCTTTTTAACCGTAACTGAAAAAAATTAACCGATAGCCGTAAAAGAGCCAAAACTTTAGCCGATAATCGTAAAAGACACCACCCCATTGAGACCCTCCTACGGCGCCTACAGAATAAGCCTGCACGGATTATTACGCGTTGCTCTCGCTCATCTGAAGCAATAGAGCAGCTGCACTGGCCGACTCTTTCCAGCAGACGCTCTTACCACAAGGCTAAACTCGTTTTTCTGTTCCTTAACGTTGATTTCCACTGTCGCGTAATTTTTACGTGCGGTTTACGTGCGGTAACGTGCGTAAAATTTACGTTTGCAAATAAAATAGAGGCAAATGTATGAGAACAGTGAAATATCAAGGGGGCGTTTTCCAGAAGCATGGGGTTTGCGCCCAAGCTTTTCCTCTTCTCCCCTCTCCCTCCCCGTCCCCCGTTTTTTTTTTGTTTTTTTGTTTTGTTTTTTTTTTGCTCCCTCTCTAACTTTCGCGCAATAATCCGGTTTGAAACGCTTGCTACGCAGGCTACCTCGTAAAATCCCTAATAGTCGCAGATCTCATTATTTCTTCTACGGTTGTGCTTTGATCTTTGGGATAAATGAACTCATCTGTTCTCTTAGCAGGCACTAATTTGACTACCGTTATGAGGTGCTTGGAATCAGAAGAAGTAGCGCCCTTAAAGGATTAGTGTGTATGAGGGTAAAGAAAAGAGTCCCAAGATTTAGACCGAACCTATTTTTAAGTAATGGTCCTTGTAAGCAAATAAAAGGTGCTAAATAATTAAGAAATGATAAACGAGTAGCGTGCAACCATTGAGTCATGGATACACGCGGATGCAGGTTGCTTAGCACTAAATAAGCGTAAGAGTTTCACGAGGCGATAGTCGAGTGCAACTCTAGCTTATTGAGTGCTTAGCAAACCTCCCAATAATCAAAAGAGAAAACATTTCCAGTTGCCTTCGGTAGCCAGTCATCGGTACTGTGGACGAGTTGACGTATGCTGTCATCTTCCAGCGGGTAAACAAATCATGCCTTTCAAAAACTTGCCTTTGAGTTTTTCTTTTTATCGCTGAATCAACCTATCTCCGTCTTAAGGTGGATTGCAAACCGTTTTTGTTGTTATTCTGAATGGCATCTGTCTACTTACCCTTAATATTACGGTAAATACTTTGAATAAATACTTTGAAGGAAAACGAAAACTGCAACTAGGAACACTTACTACTGAAAAAGCTTATCATGTGACCATTTTTGCAATAAACGTAAAGTAGAAATGAGAAACATTAACTCATATCCTTTATAATAAAAGGTAACACTAATTTTAAAAAGAAATTAACTAGCTTCGAATCGAAATCGAGCAATTGCAAAAATTCGGCTACACAGCCAGCTGTGAAGCGATGCGTTAGCAATTTAGATGCCGTTGTTTTACAACCGTTCTTTGAACTACTCTTATGAATGAGCATAAATTAAACAAACAAATAAACAGAAAAGTCATTAAAAATGACTCGAACTAGTGACTTTTGTTATTAAAGACCAGTATCTATGTTTGGTGTTTTTTAGATGCTGGAGGTAAGACCGAAACCAATTGACTTAACTTAACTTAACTTAACTTAACTTACGAAGTGATTTTCCTGTTCCAAGATATAATACTGTTAAGTATGGCAAGCACAGTATCAGATATTTAGGCCCACACATATGGGGCAAGATAAGCCAGGAACTACGCAGTAAGACCAGTCTTCAGGCATTCAGGAGAGGGGTGCGTGCCCTCAATGTGCTTGGCTTGCTGGACGGCAGGTGTGGCTGCTGTGCATGCTCATCTTAGAGTGGTGGGTATACATGGTAGCTTCTGCTGTGTGGCTGCCTGGTGTATTGAGGGTGTGCTCCCCTATCCTCTATTTAATTCGTCTAATTTAAATTTTCTAGACTTTTAACTTTCTGAATTTTGTATCTATATTTTACTGCTGCTTATATGTTTGTCCTATAGTGTCTGTTTGTTTGTCTGTCTATGTGATTGTCTGTTTTGTCTATCTATTTGTTTGCCTTAGTTTGTTTGTTCCCTGCTTGTCCTACTGTTTGTCTGTAATAATTTTATTTATTATATATGTACTGAGATTTACTGCAAAATGAATATGTCAAATAAAAATGATGCGTTGCAGAGTACACGCAATCTGATTGGTTGTACGATTTTTCTCACTAGTGAAAAATACCGTATGACCAATCACAACCCGCAGACGAAAGTTTTCACTAGTGACAAAAATCGTATCGATTTTCCCGCCTTTCACTGACGGCGTCACTAGGCAAAAGGAAAACCATGGCGTCTTCTTCGAGCAATTCAAGGTTTGCAGATATAACTTCAGTAGAGGAATTTATTGAAGGACAAGAAAACGAAAACACCAGGAAGAAAACTGAACAGAATGTTGCTTTGCTTAAGGAGTTTTTGAGGCTAAAAGATGAGTCAAGGCCTGTAGAAGAAATTCCCCCACACGAACTGAGTTCATTCATCAGCGAATTTATCATAACAGTAAGAAAGAAAGAAAACAACGAAGATTACGAACCCACTTCCTTGCGTGCTATGATGGCCAGTTTTGAACGGTATTTAAAGAAGAAGAATTACGGCTACAGCATTATGAGAGACGTCGAGTTTGAAAAAGCACGAACGGCATTAAAATCAAAACAAAGAGATCTCAAGAAGAAAGGCAAAGGCGATAAACCAAACGCTTGAGTTCCCCTCACAGAAGACGACATAAAACTGCTGTATGACAAAGGATTGTTAGGAAAGTCAACTCCTGAGGCTCTACTGAATACAGTTTGGTTCAACAACACAGTCTATTTCGGTCTCCGTGGTTGTAAGGAACACAAAGACATGTGTTGGGGCGATGTGCAACTACGCCAAACTACAAATGGCGATGAATTTTTAGAGTATACTGAGAGACAAACTAAGACTCGAACCGGAGAAAATCCCAGAGATGTCAGGCAAATAAAACCGAAAATGTTTTCGGTTCAGGGAAGTGAAAGAGATCCCGTCACTGTTTACAAATTCTACGCGGAGAAAAGACCGTCGGAAATGAACGACAACAACGCGCCATTTTATCTAGCAGTAAATAACTGTAAAAAACAAGATTCTTCTAAACCATGGTTTAAAAAGTCAGCCGTTGGCGTGAACAAGCTGAATTCGTTAATGAAAAAATGGCAGAAAAAAAGCCGGGCTGGGGCCCAATGTAAAGAACCATAGCGGTCGCAAAACAATGATCCAAACTTTAACAAACAACGACATCCCACCGACAGATATTATTCAACTGTCGGGACATAAAAATCTTCAAAGTGTGACAAATTATTCTGTAGTTTCTGAAAAACAGCAAGTAAAAATGTCTCGTACTTTAAGTGAACTGATGTCCGGGAATGTGCATAGCTTAGAGAAAACTAATTCATCTCAAGTTGGAGAATGCTCCACTGATCCTTCAGCTAGCTCGGCGGGTCGCTCGGCGGCAGATCATCACCAACAAGCGATGTCGCTTTTCACGGGCGCTGTTATTCATGGAGGTCAATTCAGCATTTCTATTAACAGCCTCAATCAATCCCCGAAGTTGGCAATCCAAGAAGTTGAGGTAAAGTCTTCTCCAAAGAGGTACAAAAGGCTAAAAGTACTGGACTCTGACTCTGATTAGAATGCACGCATTACTATAATTAGATTTACAAAACAGTCAACTTTTTCAAATTTTATATCTTAGTTACGGTTTTGAACGGCGATATTTAAAGCTGAAAATTTTCATTGTTATTTAAAGTTAAAGAATCGTTTAAAAGTAGACTTTGTTCCACTTTCTTCAGAGTCATTGAATAACTTTAATGTTGTAGGAAGTTTTGTACGTTCAGTTTGCTCGAATAAAATCATTCGCAACTCGTTGTGGTCTTTGTGTTGATTTCACCGCGCAATTGATAGTTGTTAACATTATTTTGTAATATCTCAGTACATATATAATAAACAAATTACCTCATGGTTGGTTCGCTTGTACGATTTTTATTCACTCGTTGTGAAGAATCGCAAACTCACTCGTTCGCTGCGCTCACTCGTTCGTTTTCGATTCTTCACAACTCGTGAATAAAAATCGTACGCACTTACCAACCATGAAGTAATCTCTATATATTGATGTTATTTTTTGTATATTAATGATATTTTAAGAATATATTTTTAATATTTTTACATATACTTGATTTAATCTTATATTATATTCATTTTATTTATTTATAGTGTCCACAATTAGCTTTTAGCTAAATACCTTGACACTTCAATAAAGTTTATGTATGTATGTATGTATGACTTCTCTTTCAGAGATTTTAAAAACCTGTTTGAGCTGCTCAAGGCACTCTAAGCTTGATGCTTCACTGATTTTATTCCCATACAAATTAGAATGCGAGAGACAGTTAAGTTTATGCTCTTTTGATTAATAACAACAAAACACACCATAATGGTGATTTAAGTCACATAAGAAAAATGCAAAATGAGAAATGCCCTTGAAGTTTGAACCGTCTCTTCAGTTCAGACAATTTTTTTGCTTCAAAATTTAACAAGAGAGCAAGGTAGGTGTACCTTTTTGGCAATCAATTTTGAAATCTGAGAAATCAAACAAGAAAAAATACATTTATTTATGGTGTTAACCTGTATTGTAGAATCGTTGTCAAAACGTGTAACTTTACGATCATAAGCTGGTCATTGGGTGCCCGTTCGGCCTGAAATCGATGAAAACCATTTTTTTAACGATCAGTGCATCCAAAGATTAGCCATAACGTCAGGCTATTGGTTCATATCGCTTTTCTTTACAATCAAAGTCTGGTAATCAAATGGTTTCCTAGGTGGGGATGCAATCTTATGGATCGATCTCCATGATTGATTCAGGTGACTACACCGAGTATATAGGAAGGAGAGTACCGACCATTGTTGGTGATTTAACCGATGCACTTTTCAGAAGAGTAAACCGACAGTGGTGAATTCTTTCCCCGTCAACTGTGCAACTGTTCGCAGACCTCCTTCATTAGCTATCATCACCATTCTTTCCTTTAACCGATTGTTTTTAGGCCTTCCGAGACAGATTTTGGGGATCACTGACTATCGATTTTGCATGGAGGGTATTAAGTCCAAAGTTTTAAATGCCTGATTTTTTTTTCAGTTTGATAAAATAGCTTCTTTGATAAGCGGTTTGCTAAACGTTCGTAAAAAATATTTTAAAAGCTAATGCTGGATCTGATGTTTCGAAAATATCGGCTATCATCGGTCATTATCAAGGTAAAGTGGCTGTTTCTTTGTGGTCTGAATATAATTAAGGGAAGCAATTTGTCAGACATTCCTTTTGGGCTGCATGCAAAGCGTGAATGGATCCGGGAGGCAAAACTAGTACGAAACGAAAAGTCTATTGTTTTGCCCTCATTTATTTACATTAAAACCACCAAACGCATGATGGAAACATTCACATGCTTAAAATGACTATCACAAATTTCGAACACAAACGACAAACGACAAACAAGCAAACAAACAAACGCCCTTTAAACAAAAACAAACGCCCAAAAAACGCCCATTTGTTATCCTAATCGAGCGAGAAGATTCTATGCCGTTTTGCCCAGTGCAAGCGATGTTGGATTATTGCAAACTCAGGGGCACCAAAGCAGGCCCTCTTTTTTGTCATAGGGACACAAGCCCAATAAAAGTGGGTCAGTTTAATATCGAACTCCATCTTTGCTTGTCTTTTTGCGGGCTTGACACAAGCAGGTACAAAGGTCACAGCTTTCGAATAGGAGGTGCCTGTCACGCAGCCGAGAAAGGGTTCTTCAGTGCCCAAATTCAGAGGCTTGGCTGCTGGAAATCCGACGCTTTTAAGCTTTACGTTAATAGGTCCGACACCTTACACGCTAATTGACTTGATTTGATTTGCTCCTCATCTCTCTAGTCAAGTTAACGAAGAAGGTCAGATATTGGACTGCTTCTTCGTAGACGGATAATTTGTACTAGCCTAATGGTGATAGCAATTTATTACTGAAACTAAGGCGTTAAAGAGGGCCAGTTAGCGGACTGCCTCGATCTTTATCTCCCGCCTTTACTCTTTAGGTCTATTATTGTATTTTCGATATATAAAATTCTCTATACACCCTAAGACATAACGAATGTACTCGGCCTCTTATCGTCTCTTTATATGTTTTTGTGTCTGTGATTTTAGAAATTCTGGACAAACTAATCAGGGGCACCCAACGTCAATGTTCGGAAAATATCTGTTCGGAAGACGATTTGAGATCTAGAAATTTCGGAACATTTGTTGTAAAATTTCTTGCTTGCCTGCCTCTCCTAGGATTTTCGAACATCTAAAAAATGGTATAATTGCCCATTTTTAACGGATTTTTACCGTAAAAAGGTCAGCTAGAATTTTCGGGAGCCTTTTTTCTTGCTGAAATTTTCGAAAAGATAAGTTTTGATCCCTATGATTTTCGGATCACTCGACTTTCAGCTAGGAAATCCGAACAGATGAAAAATTTTTAGGGGATAAAAAATATGCCTATATCTACGTTTAAATACTAAAATACGTTCAACAATGCTATGTTTAAGTGGTTTTGAACTATATTCTCGTTGGGTGCCCCTGACTAATGCAGGAGGTCAGACATGGGGCTGCTTCGATCTCCATTACCTTTGTCTTTACCTAGACATCGCTTATCGTTATATCTAGTTGCACTATACAGGCCAATACAGAGGGTCAGAAATGGGTCTGCTACTCCATTGCCGTAATTTAGTCTGCTCTGATATCTTGTCGTTTCGTTGTTTGCTATTGAGCAATATTAAACCGCTTATTTCAAAGTGTTTATTATCGCCATTATCGCCCGCGTATTGCAGTAGGTCAGTTTCATTGGGCTGCTGCTCCAATGCCTGTTTTCTTTATTTTAGATGACTATACTTTTAAGTACTGAAACCACTTTAGTTTATTGGTTTTCCTTCTCGAGAGCTCGGCTGGCGTCTTGGTGGGGTTACCACATTCTTGTGGCTTGTGGCGGATTTTTGTCTCCACCTTCCCTGAAGAGATGTTGATTAGTTTATTTTATAATTGGTTTCAATTAAAAACGTCACGCTTGTGGCCATTTATCCCAAACAGTTGAGATTCTTGCTCGAGTCATCTATTCAGCAAACCACTCCGCCACCATGCGGAGCTCTCGATCGTTTTCGTAAATTCGGTTTGGGAAGACTCGCAATAAAAACAAACATTATGATGAGAAGATGGAATCATAATATCATTTTATTTCGAGGCATTTCCCGTTTCTTATCTGCAGTGTGCAGGCGGTGGTTCCCTGGCCAATCAGGAGATCGAACGTGTTTATTGCTGTATAAAAGACTTGATATATGTTTTGGGCGGCCCTCCCAACTATTACCATCAGCCTGTACTGACATCCCTCTGACGCTTAGTTGCCTGGAAATTTTCAGCACTAAACACGTTCGATCTCCTGATTGGCCTGGGCCACCGCCTGCACACTGCGGATAAGAAACGGGAAATGCCTCGAAATAAAATGACATTATGATTCCATCTTCTCATCATAATGTTTGATTTTTTTCTAAATCCGATTGTTTCTTCCTTAGATACCAAAAAATGGCAAAGAAGACGTACAGAAAGATCGCCAGCTCTGCACACTCGGAAAACATAAGCTTTACTTCTTCTCTTTTTTTTCACTGGATGAACATTTTGATGAAGACTGGGAGTGAACGAGCTGTTGATGAAAATGATCTTTTACCTCTTAAAGAAGAAAACACTTCTTCGTTTTTGACAAAGAAACTTGAGGCAAAATGGACCGAAGACACCGCTGATAGTAAACTATATGACGTTAAACCAAAACTTTGGAAAAGCGTATTGAAGATGTTAACTGCGAAGGAAAAAATGATCTTAGTTTTGACTATGAGTGTCGAGATACTTTGTCATATTCTTCAGCCGCTGCTTCTTGGATATCTTGTGAAATCGCTGATGACAGCAGAGCCACACAATATGTATCTTCTCTATAGCAGTGCCATCGCACTAGGGATAAATGGAGTGATCTCTTCTGTTGCCATGCACCAGGCTGACTACCACTGGGAGGTGTTGGGTATCAAAATAAGCGGCGCTCTTAAAGGATTAGTGTATATGAAGGTAATGAACAAAAATGTAAGAGACGGCCAGATGTGTCCACACCGATGAGGAGGTGGGCTTAAACCTTTAAGCCAGTCCAGTTAACTCAACTGGCCTGGGCCGAAATAGAGCCTATGACAGCGTTCACACTTGGTGTCCGGGCACAGTGCCCAAGTTTTGTACTCGCTTGGCACTAATGTGTAAGAACTTGCTCCAGAATTCGTGCTCCGTGCCTGTGCCCGAGTACATCGCTACTCGAGCACTCAAGAGGGCACTGGGTCCCTCTGTGCATGCACACCGTATTCAGTTCGGGGCAATCCACTGCTTTGTACTAACCGCTAAGGACAAGTTCAAAAATGGCGCTTGACAGGACGAAAGGGACTTTATACGCAGAAGAAAACTATTGATTGAGCGAGAAAACACTCAAGGTTTTTCTTGACCAATGTCAAATAAGTTTACAAATCTATGATCGAGGGCATGAATACGTTCATACCCAAAGTCCAGCTTACCGTACTAAATTGTGCTTTTTTGGGGTATAAGGAAAATAGGCCATTTCCGAGTTGCGTCAAGATATTATGGCTAGATATTCCAGAGCACTTATCTGTCAATTTAGAATTTATACAAAAACGAGCCCTTTAGATTGTTTTCCCAGACTATAGTTATGATAAAGCTCTGACCTTCTCTGGCATGGAGGTTAGGCATTTGTCATGAAGTTATTAGTGTACAATTATGATCCTGATCTGGCCGTGAAAAGCCTTTCTGTCCTTACATTAGAATCAAAAAAGAGAATGATTTTATTACCTTTACATTTTTAGACCAGTTTCATAACAACCATAACCTTTTGTATGTGATAGCATCGTGATTGTGAATTTTACAACTTGGCAATTTAGTTGTATCTTACCGCAAAGAGTGGAATAGACGATGTTTATTTATATTAAACAAGCATCTGTTTACAGGCAATGCTAAGTGCAGAGCCATGGATATGAAAATCACTTTTTATTCTCATGCAAATAGAACTCGTTTTCAGAGGAAACGATTTGCGCCTCGCCTAGTTTTGACAGGGAGAGTTTTTGGAACTCAGAAATGGCCTATAAATAGGTAAAGTTATTGCAAATGTAATTTTTCATTAGTCTTCGGTAATTGACAACCCCCATACGCTGTGACAACGTTAATAGTAACAAAGCTATTCCGTTAAGAAATAACATTTTTGCAAAGATGACTTACGAACTTTATTTTCTTGTTGCAGACGCTTCTTCTCAGCAAGGATTCATTGCTGAGACTTTCATCAGGTCGAGTTATTGATCTCGTATCAAACGATGTTCAGCGACTAGAGAGCGATACTTTCATGTATTTTTTTGCTGGAGTTCGAAGCATCATAGAACTTTTAATAGTAACCTTTTTACTGGTCTGTTTTGTTGGATGGCAGGCTCTAATGGGGATTTTTTTACTGTGTATTGTTCTGCCATGCTACCTTTTTTTCGCCTATGCTGGGGCTTTACTACGCCTACGTACAGCCGCAGTTTCTGATCGCCGCATCACGATGATTGGCCAGGTTGTTTCTGGAATCCGCGCCATCAAAACAAATGCATGGGAAGATGAATATAGAGAAAAGATAAAGAGTGTGCGAAGGTAAGAAAAACTTTAACATTGCATAAATACAAAAAAGGTTCTGAAAAAGCGAGGATTTTTTTGTCATATCCATAAGCAATTGATTTTAAACTTACACTTTTCCTGGTTTGAAGCAATTAATAAAAAAAAAACTTTGTATAATGTTTAATAAACTTAATTTCATGAAAATGGAACGGAAATTTAAGTTTGGTTTATTTAGCTCATTCCTAGCTCGTCTCAGATCCAGCCGACCAAGCTTGGCAGTGCTTAAAAAGGGAGGCGAAGTTTCAAAACTTCAGAAGATCGTAGCTCAGCTCGAGAGCACTTGAACTGGTCTTGAGTTGAGTGGGAGAGACAAATACCCTCGTGGTTTCGCGAATTGACCCATGATCGTTGATATTTACGCTCACAAGTGACAAGGTTGACAATTGGGTTGAAAAAAGGAGGCGCTGCCGTGTTTTTGTTTGATTGTCTTCAAAGAGTCTAAGTACGAACTGAATGTCTCGTTTCGTGTTCTCCGAACATCCCGCGTGGGCTATCACGGCGGCAAAACTCATAGAAAGTGAGATCTACCGCCCAAATAACCAATCATAATCACCAATAGTTCTTAGAAAAATCAAAGGTTAAATTTATTGTCAAAGATATCGTGCTATTTAGCATCGGATAAATTCTCTCTGGTAGCAGTAAATATCAAGACAGTCAATATCAAATGAAGTGATTTTATTTCCAAGTTTATTTCAAAGCGCCCTACACCATTGTATCTTTTAACAAGAATATAACCTTTCAAGCTCTTTAACACTTGAAAAATTCCTTGTATTTTATTTATAGGGAGGAAATCGATTTGACCACTAAGAAGAGTGCTTTTATGTCTAGCATTGCTGCTCTCGAATACATTTCAACACCATTGGCAACCCTGGTGACTGTCATCACTCTTATACTAACTGGTCAGCCGGTGACACCAGTTAACGTCTTTACATTCCTCTCTTTTATCAATGTTTTGAGTGGGGGCTTCTGTATGATCTTTTCCTATTCCTCCATCCAAACATACGACGCTTACGTATCACTGAGCAGAATACAAGACTTTCTTCTTTTAAACAATCTTGATTCAACGAAAACCACGATACATCCGCCAGAAGGAACAGAAAAATCATGTTTTTCTAACAACTCGAAAAAAAGTCAGCAAGAAACTATTTTACGGGTCAATCAGCAACAGCAAAAAAATGAATCAGAAGAATCGTCTTTGCAATTTACTGATTTCACCGCTGAAAAAGGGAGTTTAACAGTCATAACCGGACCAGTGGGCAGTGGCAAATCTACTCTTTTGTCAGCAATTGCTGGGGAAGTACCAGACCGAAACGGGGCTATAACATTCAGAGGAAATGTTGTTTATGTGCCGCAGATTGCTTGGATATTCTCTGGAACTATTAGAGAAAACATTTTGTTTGGCGAACAGTACGATGAGGACAAGTACAACAGAGTCATTGAAGCATGTGCTTTGACTCAAGACATCCAAAAGTTTCCTGACTGTGACCAAACGATCGTGGGAGAGCGTGGCGTGGTGCTTAGTGGTGGTCAGCGGGCAAGAGTAAGCTTAGCACGCGCAGTCTACGCCGAAGGAGAGCTTTACTTGTTGGATGATCCCTTAAGTGCTGTGGACTCTAAAGTTGCCCATCACATTTTTAGGGAATGCATCAAAGCCTTGCTTGGAAAGAAAACTCGGTTAATGACGTCTCATCAAGAACGAATCATGCGTGACGCCGACAACGTAATTGTATTATCTAAAGGCCGAGTATTGAGCCAGGGAAATTTCACTGAGCTAAATGAAAGTGGTAGCCTGAATAAAACTGTCGAACCAATATACGAAAAGGCAAACAAATCGGATATTAGTGTTGGTGAGGACGCTAAAGACGAAGAAGAAATTTCTGACATGAGTGGTACACCTGTACGTAAAGAAGTGCAGGGTCTCCACTTATCAGAAGAAGATCGCGCCATTGGAGTGGTGTCATCAGGACTTTACTGGAACTACTTTAGAAGCGGAGTTCCTCTGCTGGTAATCATCGCAGGAATTTGCCTATGTTTAATAAGTCAAGGTAATGTGCCTTAAGATAATAATAACTGATCCTCACCACCACACATTTTTTACCCTGGGGAAAGTGCGGTCGAATGAATCCGAATCGTATTTTACAAAAATATTTCCTTAGCCACGAGAAAATAATAATTAATTCGCACTTTGCAGCAACTCTTGGAAAACCACATTAATGTTCGTGACCGGTGCCAAATTACTGAAAAAATAAGGGTTATTTATTATTATTTTTTTTTTTTTGTATTTTAATGAATTTTTTGTTTTAAAATGTTTTACATTTTTGTTTACATTCTGACTTATGAACACGGAACACGTAAAGAAAAAGTACAAAAAACGGAAAGGAAAACTAAACATTATACATCGCAGACTAACACACAATTACATACTTACAAAAAAGAAAACAAACGAAACAAAAACCCAGTACCTTCTTTTCTATTTACATGAAAAAAAAAGTAAAATAAAATAAATAAATAATAAAGATTAATAATAAATGAAGTAAGCGGAGAAGAGATCGTATGCTAATCAGTTTTATATTTGCCCCATTTCATATTGTGGGTCTCCAACTTATTGTTTGACTTAGCGATCATTGTCTCTATTAAGAAGACAGTATTAATTTTGGAATGAAGAACTCTGATGTAGGGAGGATATTTGTTCTGTCTACAAGAGTATAGATATTGTTTTGCCAGTAATAAAATATGATTCACAAATATCTCATCCTCACATCCAATAATACCAAACAGTATATCTTTGTCTGAAAGATTTTCAATCTTGACCTTATGATCAACAAGCCATTTTATAACCTCAGACCAGAAATTCTTAGTATAATGACAAGACAGGAAAAGATAAGGGTTATTTGGCCATTCAACAAAAACACTGGATTGCGTCTTTAATTAATGATTATTTCTGAATTGTACGACGAGAATGCCATTCACATATTAGTGAGTAAATAAGAAAATTCAGAGCAACCTGAAACCCCACAACCTAACTGCATATGATTGGATCTGCTTATAAATTGATTTGTTGAATTGAAAAACTAGTGACGGCATCAATTTTTGGTTTCTGCTCCATTTTTTGTTTTGTTTTTTTTTTTGTTTTGTTTGTTTTGTTTGTTTGTTTTAATAATAATGAATAATGGCTATACTGGTTGCAAAGTATTAATGGAAAAGATTGTCTTTAAACTTGAGTTGATTTAATACATTCATGTTTTATTTTGAAGCTGTAGCTGGGCATTCTGCTGATCTCAATCTTTGAATTCTCCTAACTTATGTCCAGGATTGAATACAATCTCGAGTTTTCAGTTCTTGGTTTCCATTGGTTAGCATGGACTTTGGCTTAAATCACTTTGGCTAGACCAGTGAAATTTGCCCTTTATTATTTATTGGTTCTTCATCCATTCGATCTAACCAGTCAGATCTGTTTTATTGAGAGCTAATCAGATTCGAGTATTTCTTTTTAATTGTTATCGTTCCATTGCATTTAAAACTAACGAGAGCTACGTACTATCTATCTTATAATGAAAGTTTTCTACGACTGCGTATTTGAATAGCCCTCTACTAGAAAGTTCAAATGCAAGGCAGCTATCAGTGTGTTCTTCGCAAGAGTTCTGCCTGTTGACAGGAATGATCATGTTTAGTTGTAAGGATATGGACAAATGAAAAAACGTGACTGGTCACCGGGGAAAGGCTGTCATAGTCTGGTGAAAATAAACTTCATTCATTAATTCATTCTTTCAGTTTTGCCATTAACCATATACAAATACAACAATTACAATATATCTAGAAATTTATGATACATTAATAGAGAATACTTCATGGAAAGTGCTGGCGTACGGTATTTACGCACGAGTTGTTGACGTATCAGAAATCGAACGAGTGAGCGCAGCGAACGAGTAAGATTTCTGATACAAAAACAACGAGTGCGTAAATACCGTACAAAGCACTTTCCATGTGGTATTGTGTTTATTATATACATATTGAGACATTCATCATTTGGCGACCTTTTTATTTTAAATCTTTCAAAAATGCTAAAATTTGCCGCTACACACTTACCGCAAAATGACAACGAAAACGAAGTATCAGCTTTTTAGTAAAAACGTTTGTTAAAAACATAAATGACGGTAAGGATATGAGGTAATCCAAGAACTATAAGTAATCTTAACTGTTTGTTCTCAATGCACAATTGAAAATGAGTGAATTTAAGTAAAATGGCCGGTTTCAATATAAGATTAAGCTTAAATGAAAGGCAAAATAGCTCCGACAAAAAGCACAACAAAAGTTTACTTCTCGTTCTGTTTTTTCCTTTCCGCTGTTGTTTCGCCGGTTCTCTACCGTTTTCTTTATCGACAGTGAAACAAACGAAACTATTCCACTCCATTTCCGAAATGTTTTTCACTTTTTAGCGAGAAAAACTCTTTGAGTAAAACTTTTCTCGTTGAATGTGTGCGAAGCGGCGCTGCAAGCTCCAATAAAAGGCGGGAATTTTGGTGCGAAACTCACACACCTCTGTGGCTTCTGATTGGACGTATCATTTTTCTCACACGTGAAAAAACATCGTTCGCGATTCTGATTGGACGTATCATTTTTTTCACGTGTGAAAACCATCGTTCGCTCCTCTGATTGGCTAGAACTAATTTGCGTACTAAAATTTACGACATAGCTTTTTGGTGAGTATTTCTCAGTATGTATATAATAAATAGAGAATACTTCATGGAAAGTGCTGACGTACGGTATTTACGCACGAGTTGTTGACGTATCAGAAATCGAACGAGTGAGCGCAGAGAACGAGTAAGATTTCTGATACAAAAACAACGAGTCCGTAAATACCGTACGTCAGCACTTTCCATGTGGTATTGTGTTTATTATATACATACTGAGACACTCGTCATTTTGGCGGTCTTTTCATTTTAAATCTTTCAAAAATGCTAAAATTTGCCGCTACACACTCACCGCAAAATGACAACGAAAACGCAGTATCAGCTTTTTAGTAAAAACGTTTGTTAAAAACATAAATGACGGTAACGATATGAGGTAATCCAAGAACTATAAGTAATCTTAACTGTTTGTTCTCAATGCACAATTGAAAATGAGTGAATTTAAGTAAAATGGCCGGTTTCAATATAAACTTAAGCTTAAATGAAAGGCAAAGTAGCTCCGACAAAAAGCACAACGAAAGCTTACGTCTCGTTCTGTTTATCCCTTTCCGCTGTTGTTTCGCCGGTTCTCTACCGTTGTCTTTATCGACAGTGAAACAAACGAAACTATTCCACTCCATTTCCGGAATGTTTTTTACCTCTTTAGCGAGAAAAACTCTTTGAGTAAAACTTTTGTCGTTGAATGTGTGCGAAGCGGCGCTGCAAGCTGCGATAAAAGGCGGGAATTTTGACGCGAAACTCACACACCTCTGTGGCCTCTGATTGGACGTATCATTTTTTTCACGAGTGAAAACCATCGTTCGCTCCTCTGATTGGCTAGAACTAATTTGCGTACGAAAATTTACGACATAGCTTTTTGGTGAGTATTTCTCAGTATGTATATAATAAAAGATAATATGCCCTATTCTAACTAAATTATTTACAAAATTAAATGTTTAAAGTGATACTGACAAGGAAGCCTAGTATATAGAAGCGGGTCTCTTATAAACTATACGCATCCTGAACTATATGGTAAACCATGCAAGTTAAAGGTACTGAATGAAAATTTGGGCTAATTTTTAAAAGTAAAGAAAAGAAAAAAGAAAAGATATGCAGTTCAGCAAAGAGTATATTTGACTCAAGAAAGAAGGGATTTGTTAAGTTTTTTGCCTAACAAACTGATACTTTCACCGTTTTGAATTTCACGACTTAGCGAGTTGAAAAACTTAGGACCTTAAAACCGAATTGAGAATTTTCGAAAACTAGTTCGACAATGAGGTATAAATACAAAAAGGTTGGAATTTCTAGTATTATGCGAATGTATCTGCCTTGCAAGAGTAAACATATCACGGAAATAATTAGGAAGTAAAACGTCTCTTAAAAAGATTCGTAAATTTACCTTTTTGATATAAATAAATGTCCGAGAATTTTAAAATCCCCTGCTCTTTGCTCTTGAAAAAAAAACACTGGTAAGAGAATCAAAAGAAACTTTAGATTTTTTTCTGATTATCTTCTTTGCAGAATAATAATCCGACTTAAATTAGACTGATGTGCCGATCCCCACACTGAAACACAATGTATTAAGTAAGGGTAAACTAGACTATAGTAAAATAGCGTAAGGAAGTTTTGGTAAGGAAAAAACTTGACTTATAAATAATACCTATTGATTTGGATATTTTTTCTAGAAATGCTAAGACTTTGAGGCTTCCATGACAAATGCTCGTCGAGGACAACACCTAAAAATACTGTTTCTTTCACACGTTCAATTACATTGTTGTCAATTTGAAAAGATATATCAAGTGTTTGCCTCCTTTGGCGTGGCCTAGCTAAAAACCATAAAATTCGATTTTTTTAAAAGTTAATGGACAGTTTATTTGCTCGACACCATAGTGTTAATTTAAGCATTCCAGAATTCAAGATTTCAGGACGTAAATAAAAATCTTTGTGGGAAAAAAATATGTTTGAGTCATGAGCAAAACGAATTAAGTCCACCACCTTTGACACATTGCACAGATCATATATAAGGAGCAGAAAGAGCAGGGAGCCTCGTATAGAGCTCTGAGGCACCGCGCACGTAATTTTGCAAGCCTCTGAACTGATACCATTAAATTCCACATATTGCTGTCTATTGCTTAGATAGCTTTTGAACTATCTATTAAGTGCAGTGCCTCGAACACCATAACGCTCTAATTTTGAAGTTAAAATGTTATGTATTTCTTATTTTCAATAACAGTAGAGATTTTGTCATATAAAAAAGTAAGAGCATAAGCAGTGGGGTGATGCTTGCGAAAACCATGCTGATTGTCAGAGAGAATGTTATGATTGTTAAGAAACCTTAAAAGACCATTGTTCATTACTCTCTCTAGAATTTAGAGAATGCTGGTAAAAGAGACACGGGTCTTTCTAGCCTTTTTTCAAGTTAAAAAAAAAAAATAGAAAAACTTATACCATATTCAAACATTAAACTTCTTGTAGGATTAGAAAAGACGCGAAAACAACAAGCATATAACAAGCCACAACACACCATCTTTGTTTTTAAGGTCACAGATTAATGCCAGTCTTCTTCACAGACATCCAAAAATGCATGACTCCAGGTGTATGACTTAATTCGTTTCTGACCATCATTTTTCTTGTATTTCCTTTAGCAATGCTTGTTTCCTGCGATGTGTGGCTATCGCTTTTGACAAAGACACACCCCGAGGATCAAAAGAACGAGACAAACCTTGTCATCTATGGCTCTCTTGTTGGGGCATCTTTCATATTTCTCAGCATTCGGGCATTTAGCTTCTATCTGGTATCTTTACGATGTTCTGAACGTCTTCATGATAAAATGGTTGCGGCTGTTCTACAGGCACCAGTCGTATTCTTCGATTCAAATCCTGTGGGAAGAATTATGAATCGTTTCTCTAAAGATATAAGTTGCATGGATGATGTACTACCCAAAACGTTTGTGAGAGCAATCCAAAGGACCTTGCTGATGTTCACCTCAATACTTCTACCAACTGTCATCAACCCTTGGCTTCTGTTTGCTCTTACGCCAATAGCTGTGTTAGCGGGAGTTATTTCAAGATATTACTTAAAGACGTCAAGGGAGCTGCAAAGGCTGGAGTCAGTTAGTCGCAGTCCAGTCTTTTCTCACTTTTCAGAGACGCTGGATGGACTGGACACAATTCGGACGAGAAGAAAAGAAAAAGATTTCGTGGATGAGTTTTGCAGGTACTTTACTCATTTCTTTTGTCTTTGTTGTTGAATAATTTTGATACGTGTATTCTGAATAGCTCAAGTTTGAACTGAGTAACTCCTGGATTAAGTAGCCAGTCAACTGGGTATTCAGGTAGGTAGTGGAGTTGTAACACGATCGCCGTGTGGTTTCATCGGGGTGATTGATGCGTTGCTGCCATTAGGTCTCAGTCATCTTAGCTGGGCTGTTTTGGTATCGTTAAACTGGGACGTTCACCTGGGATTTGGACAAGCTAGCTCTCCAGATTATGACGTCTTTTTACATTCTTCTTTTATCATATGACAAGACGTTTTAATGCAAAAAATTCTTTTTTCAAAGGATGTTCGAATATGAAAGATTTAACAGCGAAAACGAAGTTACAAAACTAAATCGTGCATTATTATTGTTCCTTTTAGGTATCAAGATCTTCATACTAAGTCATACATTATGGTTTTTGCCAGCCAGCGCTGGCTTGGTGTACGCTTGGATTGTCTCTCCGCTCTTTTGACTGCTTCAACGGCTCTTGCTTCAGTTATTGTATCACAGGATGCTGGTAATTATACTTGCATATGTAATCAGCAAATTAATCCATGTTTATATGAGCTGTTAAATTTCTTAGAATATTAGAACACATGAATGGCATGGCCAGCTATTTGGAACCACTAGGGGGCGGAGCGGAAGTTGACGTATGTCATCATATTCCAATCGGTAATTGGTTGGCCTGCTTCTCTTTGTTAAGGATGTCATGTAAGAGTGTCATTGACAGAAACATTTGGCTGCTAAAATGGGTACATTGAATCGCTTATATATTAGCCACGATTTCTCACATTTTCCCTGAAAATCCGCTTATAAAGCTCTTTAGATGCTATTCTGCTCACCCGGTGTCAGTTTTGACATTTAGGGGCTTTGAGAAGCTTCTTCAAGCAGCTCTAAAATCTAGATCAATGGATCACACAGTAAAACACACACAAAAAATAAATAGTTATTCCCAGGTTTTTAACCTCCAAAAAAGGCTGAGAAAAGGCCTGGGAAATACTAAAATGACGTCAAATTCGATGTAAACAGAAAAGGATTTGTTGAAAAAGACGGCCGGAATTTAAAAAGTCCTTTACAGGAGCGTCTTTGAAAGGTATTTAGTCAACGATGATTAATTTCCGGTGAATTTGGGTGTCTTTGAAAGCAAAAAAAACGCAAAGTATTCAATTCGTAAAGAGCCAGAAATTACGAGGGTGGAAAGTACTACATTTGGATTTCAATTTGCGACCGTGGACTGTAGAGTTTGATCTAAGAGGAAAACAGGGGCCTGCAGAAAAGATCAGTGGTTTCCATGAACTTAAAAGAACAGTATGGCGGATTCTTTTACTCGTATTTAAGATTTTTGAGAACGAAAACTGCACAGATTACAATTCGCACAGCTACAAGACCCTCTCCAATTTAAACCTTTTGTCACAACTAACAAACTTAGAGCGAGCACCGTGAAATTCCTTTACCGGATTTTTCTCAGGGATCGATTCAACAATAATTTCCATACATTTTCCTATTAGTAAACTTAGGGCGTGTGACTGCATGATCAGTGATGCGTCGCGGGGGGCGAGGTTCCGAATAGCTGGCCATTAGTGAGGCTTTTACTTTTTGTACAAATCTTAAAATTTGTTTACCGACATAGAAAGACTATGTTGACGATGGAACCTTTTGTCATTTGAGCTAAGTTATAAAATTATCGTGCTGGTTTTTCAAAGCTAATTTTTTATTCGCCTTTTGGCTGATGATTGCACGGAACTAACTGGTCAAGTTTTCTTTTCACTGCTTCAATGCTTACGAAAAAGCTACTTCTGGTAAAATAGCTCTCGGTAGCTAATGAATGATATATGTGGGTCTACATTCTTTTCTTGAAATTCAACTACTCCCTTCGGTACCCGTAGTGAAATTTGATATATGGTAATTTAGGGTTGGTAAAAATAGATAATTTCTTGATACGACGAACTACCTTAGATTCAGCGGTCAGTTTTCAAGATTACTATGAGGAAACTAACCGCACTAGGGTTGTGATAAAGCTTCGCACCTCGCTTGGCGGGCTCGCCACGAAGTGCTTGTACCAGGAAGAAATACGCCTGGCGTCCAGGGTAGCGAGGGACAGGTGCCGAGAAAAATCCTCTTGCTAAAAATGGGGCAGATGGCACCCACCCCCAGCCTCACCTTAGCCCTCTTAGAGATAAGTTCTCGGGAATGCTTTTTTGGAACGCCAGGCAGACGTTCTAGGCAGAAAACAAAATCTGGTCGATTGTTCCGTACTAACAACTGGGCAAAAGATTCTTACTTGTCCTGAACATTGTAGCATTTCCGACCAGGAGTCCGTTTCTCGAAAGTCCCGATAGATTTTCGGGTCCGGAAAGCTGTTTTATCTTGGCTGCGTTTGCATTCAAGTTCAAAGTTTCAATAATTCTGAAAATGATGCAATGAAACTATCAGTTAAAGAAGCAAAATTGATTGGTTTGTGAGCTAGGAACTGTTACTATTTAACTGGTTTATATTTTAAAATTTGCCTTTCGCATCCCGAAAAGTTGGCGGGCCTTTCGAGAAACAGGCCCCAGGACATAATACCAGAGAAATTTATTTATGGTGGATGAACCATAGCTTAATAAACGTATTCACCTGGTTTTCTTTTAGCTTTTACTGGTCTGGCATTGGTTTATGTAGTTCAAAATGTGCTTTGGACTCAGTACGCAGTTAAGAAATCAGTTGAAGTCGAAACTCTGATGACATCAGTTGAGCGAGTAATGACGTACACCGAGCTTGAACCTGAACCTGGATACAAAGTGGAACGAAAACCTCCGGGAATCTGGCCACATGAGGGCAATATCGCACTTGAAGACGTATGCCTGACGTACTATCCGGGGGGTCCTCAAAGTTTAAAGAATATTACACTTAATATCAATGGTGGAACTAAGATCGGGATTGCGGGTCGGACGGGCGCAGGGAAATCGTCCTTCGTGGCGGCTCTAATGCGGATGCCTGAAGCTGTTGGAGACATATTTATTGACAATGTCAATATAAAAGACATCACCCTCAGAGAATCTCGACGAGCAATAACTGTTCTTGGACAAAATCCAGCTCTTTTTAATGGAACGGTGAGGCAAAATCTTGATCTGATGGAGCAATTTGAAGACGCGGAACTATGGCGAGCTTTAGAACAGGTGCAGCTGAAAAGTCTTGTAGAGAATTTGCAAGGTCAGTTGAATCATGAATTACTGGAGCACGGTGAAAACTTTAGTGTTGGAGAAAGACAACTTATCTGCTTGGCTCGAGTGCTGTTACAGCAAAAGAAAATCGTCATTTTGGATGAGCCAACTGCACACGTGGATCCGGACACAGAGCAAAAGATCTGGAATATAGTACACGAGAAAATGAAAAATTCCACCGTTATCACTGTTGCACATCGTTTGAACACAATAAGAGATTGCGACAAGATTTTAGTTTTAAAAAGTGGCGAAGTCGAAGGGTTTGATAGCTTTGATGTGCTTGTGAGCAGAAAAGGAGGAATTTAAAGTAAAATGGATCATGTAACCAAGAAAGCCACATAAATACTCATCCATCCATATAATTGTGCTGACATTTCGAGGACGTTAGTTAAGCGTTAATTAAGTAGATTTAACAAACTGAGGCTACTAAAAGATTCATGTTGATTGACTCTTGTAAAGCTTTTGATCTTATTGATCAGTGATCTATCTTATAGACCTTTTAGCTCACTTATGTCCAGGATCGATTTAAAGAAAACTGCTATCAGAAAAGTATAGAAGAAATAGCAAATTTCGCAAAAATCGCAGAAGTAACAAGAATTTTTCTTGCTATGAGAAAAGATTGAGTAACAAATATGGCAAACAATAGCAAGAATAAAAAATTTAACAAAATTCTACACTTAGAAAGAGAAAAGGTCAAGAGGACTTGCAAAAATCTCAAAAGTAACAAGAATTTTTCTTGCAGTGTGAAAAGATTGAGTATAACAAATATTGCAAAAAAGCATGAATAACAAATTTAACAAAATTCTACACTTACAAAAAGAGAAGATCAAGAAGGGCTTCGAGAAGTCCGCAAATTTCGCAAAAGTGACAACGATTTTTCTTGCTATGAGAGAAGATTAACAAAATTCTACACTTAGAAAGAGAAAAGGTAAAGAAGGGCTTGCTGAGGCCTCAAATGTAATAAATGACTCTAAATGTAATAAACAACTTAAGTGTAATAATTTTTGGTCCTAAATGTAATAAAGGTCCTAAGTGTAATAACTTTTGGCCCTAAATGTAATAAAGGGTCTAATTATATATGTAATAGGTTTTAGCCTTAAATATAATGGAAGTCTTAACAGTATACATGTATGTAGTATAACAGTCCCAAGCTTGATAAAGACCCTGACTGAAACATGCGACGACATTAATGTTATAGCCAGCTGGCGATTCACTTTCTTCGCCCTATTGTAGCCTTCATAGATATTCATTAACTTAGAAAGCGGCTAGAGCGCTCAAGAAGTAGGAGAAACACTTAACTACGTCACGATCGTGTCTCCTACTACATCCCTACATCGTGAAACGCGAATTAGAAACAAATGGAATCTACACAAAAGTTTTCAAAATACAGTTGTAATTTAGTAATTGAAGGAAGTACTAATGCTCAATAGAAACAATCGTGGTAAATTGACTACTTTTGCCTATGGGGTTTCTTAATGTTGCGCCAAAAAAAGAAATGTTTTTTTTTTTTTTTTACCATTTTCCAAAAGAGTATGTCGGTCGGTCCATACAGAAAACTGTGAACACGAAGTTATATATAAACAGCAAGATGTTAAGGGCAGTATATCTTTATAGTTTTTCTGACTTCCCGACTTTGATTTTAATTTCTACCAGGAGTACTTCTTGAAGTGAATTTTTATGCTAACGTTTGTTCTAGGATCTCACCACATGAATGAAATGGCATTTTCAAATAACAGCTGGCTTTCTTGTTTCTCTAGCGAGTATATAAGGAACTCTACTTTGAAGACCCAAAATCTTTTTTTAGAGCTAAGAAGAAGACGAGGAAGAAGAAAAAAATGATGATTGCGATTGTGAAGATAATGGTGGTCCAACCAGTCAACTTGCAAATGAAATACTCGACAAAATAATAGACTTCGCGTTAACTGGAACTGACATAAGCATTATTATCACCTATAATTCCCTTTGCCAGCTTGGTGAACCCTTTAAAGAACTTACAATGCGTTATATTTGTCGGCTACCACGAATAAGCTACAACAATCGCGACACTGCGCGAAGTGGCTGTTTCAGCTTGCGCAAGTTGTGCAAAGAATTTGGCCCATACAGAGATAATACAGAGAGATAATAGCCAGCCCCAGATGGATAAAGGCGTGGGTTGAGCTGTTGTTTGCTGGGTTTGGAACCTGGTTTTATGTTACCAATGTATGGTGGAAAGGACGAGGGAGCAATTAAAGTACACTTACTTGCAACTATTTGTTAACAGACAAAGTAAAAACAGTTTAGCGGATGTTGTCTTATTGACTCAGATTAGAAATCATGGTGGCACTTTCACATTTTTGGCCTTTGCCTATGAAACAGTGAGTTGAGTACAGTTCTTAAAACCTGTAGCCCCAGTATTACTTCGTTAGTTTCGCGCCTTCCTGTGTGGTTTTCGGTCCTTTTAAACAAGTAAGAATTAATTACCAACAAATAGTAAAAGAGAAGAACAAATAAGAAAGAGAAGACATTTAGACCCTGTTTACATGGAGTGGGGGACCTCGGTCTAGTGGGGTAGAAAACAACAGAAACCAACCCCACTAGACCGGGGTCCCCCACTCCACGTAAACAGGCCCTAACATGTCATGTTTTTGTTTGCTCGGGAATCACACTTATGTCGTTAGCCTTTAACAGGAGAACACGTCAGTGACACGTTACCTTTCAATTTTATTTTTCGTACGATGTTTGTTACTCGCAGCACCTTGAGATATTATTTTTTTGAGCAAGGGAAATTGTTGCGTGTGGTTGGCTTTCAGTACGAAATATTCATGTTATGCTGGTTGCTTGCACCGGTTGCACCAATTTTGTTCTCGCTAATTTATAAATGATTGTTGTTCCCACCAGCAGTACGCATATTTTTATTATAACTATTAGCGCGTTTCCATTGATGTAAAAGAGAACTTGTTTTGCGTAGATGGCTTATTATTTCCACATCGCTTTGTAACTATTAGTGCGTTTCTACTTTTGTGTGAAAGCGAAATTGTTTTGCGTGGGGGGCTTATAGAACGAGGAATATTCATAATAACTATTTAATATAGCATTGTACTTGGTGTATTAAAGCAAAATTGTTTTGTGTGGTTGGCTTATAGAACGAGAAATATTCAAAATAACTACTATTAGCGTGCTTCTACTTGGTGTAAAAGCGAACTTGTTTTGGATAGACTGGGCTTATAGAACGAAGAATACTCATGACATGTTTGTATTTCGACCTCACTTTATTGTAGCTGTTAGCGATTACTTTTAGCGCTAGTTCGACCTCGCTTTGTAACTATTAGCGCGTTTCTACTTAGTGTAAAAGCGAATTTGTTTTGCGTATAGTTGGCTTATAGAACGAGGAATATTCATGTGACGTTTGTTTCTCATAGTTGATGCTTAAAGTACAGGATAATACCAAAAGAGGAATCGACTGGCGTCTTTTCCATTGGTACCAATGGTACCAATTGATGAATCGATCTTGCAAGGGTGAGTATTGGTTTGGTGATATGTTTGTTGGAGGTACCAAGGCAAAAGAAGTTGACTCCTCACTATGAGAGAGGAAATGCTTTACTTTGTCTAAGCTGCTTTAGCTAATTCTATCTTGATATATGTAACCTAGAACGTAACCAACAAATTTTATGCCCTGCTGACTGATAATATTAAACAGACCGTGTCGTAATCGAAATAATAACAGAATGTATAATTAAGAGAGACAATTATTAACTTTGAGCCGTCTCTCCAGTGCAGACCTCTTTGCATTTCCCTGAGGCAAAATTGCAAGGTAAGAGTACCTTTGCTTGCATTTTGGCAGCCAATTTTGAAACCTGCAAAACCTAACAAGAAAAATAAATTTCTAGTAAAGTAATGATCACTGCATTTGCAGGACAGTTTAGTTTTAACTTGCAACTGCAACTTCATGCAGCTATAGTCATTTGCCTGTTCTTAAACACAGAAAAATTTTTCACTGAAGCAGGAGGAAGCTATAGTGGTGGTATTCACGAGGCCGTGATATCATTTCTAGTATATACCAAAACATTGAGATAACTGAGTACAAAAACTATGATTTTTATTAGACTTATTTATTGCTGCCAACGTTTTCAATTTTGGCGCGCGTTATGACCCGAACTGCCGTTTGTTTAGCTTTTGCTGGGAAATTTGTTCAAAAAGAGTTGTATATTCTTTCTGGATTTGAAACCATGTAAAAAAAACATTTATATTTAATTTAGCTTATATATGAACATGCCAGCTATAAGCAAATAAACCTTAACTGGTAACACAAGACCTATTCTGCAATTGCTAACTTATTCACCGATATAACCGAATTTTGTCGCCTTCTTTGAGAAGCCAACTGTGAGAAGGGTGGTCTACTGAAAAAAAAAATATCAGTAGAAATATTAAAAGTTAAACCTTACGTTGTTTGACGTTCTGATAATACGGCTACCATTCGTCTTGATCATTATCAAGGCAAAGGGGTTTTGTTTCATGTACCAGGTGTAACAGAGTGTGATAACGATAGCAATATCATGGATGACAAATTATTCCTTAATTTTGGCGCGAAATTTTAGCTTTAATTTATAATTTTACATATGAAATTACAAACTTGCCATGTGGAACGGACTCGGGGGGCAAGGTCAGGTTTGAAATGTTATCAATGAGGAGGCATTAAAAGACGCGTTAGAAAACCTCAACTCACCAAAGAATTCTCAGGTATTTTGTCCAACAAGTGAACTTAACACAAAATTTAAGCTCTTAAGTTTTCAGTGCGAAGAGTTCTCGATCGATGATGATTTGTCAACAGCGAGCAAAGATATAGCTCCCGCAAAGTTACAAAAATTTACAGACGTTTGTATGGTAATGAAAGATTGATGTTGAAAGTGTATTCGAATTAACAGTGATCCAGTCGACTGCACTTAGAATATAAAAGATCACAGCCAGCGACTTGTGTATTATTATAGTTATAACCGACACTGACTGAGCAAATATGTCAGAAAAGGGTGTAAAAATCTCGAAAGTGATAGTATAACCATTGAATTGGTGTTAAGCGAATTATTAATCTGCGGACCGATATTCCAATCACCCTATTAAAAAAAAAATTTCGTCTTTAAGTTGGGGCAAAATTTATGCGCTCTATGAAAACAATCATAATTTTTCATGTCTTCAAACAAATAGCCAAAGCAGCCTTCTTCTATAACTTGACAAGGGAGTTAAATGGTGCAGAACACTAAAGAAAAAATACTCTTTTCAGCCGAAATACGTTCAAGTTCTCGCCCATTGATTTCGTACAGGTTAATTTTCTCGACATTTCTTTTTTTTCAGTCTGGAGTCATTCGTCCCACAAAATTTAGTGTAATATTTAATTATAAATCGAACAGTTATTAAAATAGCAATGGCTATAAAATATAATAATATAAAATATATCTTGGTTTTAAAAAATGTCCTTTTTTCCCTATACACCAGAAAAATGGCAAGAATAGGTACAGAAAGATTACCATCTCTGCACTCCTAGAAAACGTGAGCTTTTTCTCTACTCTTTCTTTCCAATGGATCACTGACTATTTTGATGAAGATGGGAAGAGAACGTGCTGTTGAGGACACTGATATTTTACCTCTTAAAGAAGAAAACACTACTCAGGGCCTCCGTGATCCTTATTACAGCTGGCAGTTTGATCACATTTTGTCGCCTTCTTCAACCACTGCTTTTAGTCTGCGTAGCAAGCTCTTTCGCGTGAGTTCGTCGAGAAAGTTGGGACGAGAGCAAAAAAGAGGAATGAGAGGGAGTGGGAGGGGAGAGAAGGAAAAGCTTGCCCGCAAAGCCCACGATTTTGATAGTGCAAATTTTGTATGACCTTGAAAAATAGTTTCGGTAAGTGTTCGCTATTTGTCTTATCTAATTCCCATGGATGAAAAGATCAAAACATGGACTCTTCGTTTTCTGGCGAAAGAAAACTCAATCGTGTTGCAGTATGATGTCGAAGCGAAGTATCGATTGATTTCTAGAAAGTTCTCGGGCATGTAGTTTTTTCACAGGAGAGCTCGCTTAACCAACAAAAAGCCACACACATTTGTCATTTCCGTTCGTTTGTTGCTTCTATTTTGTTCGCGCGTTTTTATTTCAAGGTCATACGAAAATCGCTCTAAACTGCGTTCGCCCACGAACGCAGCTTCCGATTGGTGCAGTGCTGATGGTTTTGATTAAGTAGCGATCGATCAATTCATCAGTCAAACCAGGTATGTTTTATGTGCGTAACAGATCTGGTCTGATCTGATCTCTGGTTGCAGATTAAAAATGCTTTGGACTGATATTAATTTGAATTGCGTTTGTGGGAAGGTTTATTTGATCTGAGCCCCTACAAACTATAATTGGAGATCAAGCAGTGGAGACGAGTGAAGGCCAATTTACTTGGAATGACAGCGTGAGGATCTGACTGCTAAAAATGGACTGTTTAAATTGTTGGAGATAACATCAACGTAAATCTGAACATCGGTACTCGACATTAGGTAAAGCCGCCAAGGACAAGCGATTTGTCAACTTTTTTGAAATGAAAATATTATTTTTGTTTATTGAAAATTTAGCGGCATGTATTGAAGAGAACTTTTGGACACGGGCTGGAGAGCAGCTCATAGCCGGGGGAGTGAATTGTTCCTGACAACTAATTTCTTTTCTTTTCTATGTTTCAGGTGAGATAAAGCCACATAACGTTCCAAATTTAACTTATAAAAAAAGCAACAAGAAATTCTGCAGTAATCGCTCAGAGTTCAACTTTCTTTTATCGTAAAGCTTCTTTATTACAGTTTTTGCAATCGAATGGAGCGTGTTTTATTAGAGAACAAAGTAAATTTTACAAATCTGGTAATCTCTTCGTTATACGGCCTTGTATCTTGATGAACTGTCAATTTACAAATGAACCGTTTCGTGAAATATCAAGGGGCGTTTCCCAGGATCATGGGGTTTGCGGGCATGTTTATTGATAAATTTCCCTTTCAAAACAGACTTTGTTTTCTTTGAAAATAGCCTGATGTAGCAGGCGCTAGGAATACCGTATTTATTCGATTTACCGCCCTGGGCGCTTATTAAATTTTTGGACCTTGAGAGTGGGCGGTTATTCGAGACTGGGCGCTTATTAAATTGTCACCATTTTCAAAGAAATACAATGAAGAAGATAGAGGTTTTCTTGATAAAGATACTACGGTTGCGTCCTCAAAATCCAGCACTGAATTAGCAATTAGGTCACACATTAAAAATGAAATTGAAAGGTAAATTAAAAAGTTACAGTTCATTGACTTGAACTGACATGTAGTAACTTTCGTAATTAAAGACTTTTGGTCTGCAACCTACTTAAGTTGGTATCTTGGTTTGGTGTTCGGCTTTTAGATATGGAAGTTGAGACCAAAGACACCTGACGACTCTTTTAAAGATTTTAAAGGCTTGTCCGAGCTGCTCAAGTTTTCTTAGCTTGATGCTTCACTGATCATATTCCAAGACCATACCCCCACCGCTAACTTCATGCTCTGCTAAGTGATAAAAGCAGACCTTATTGTGATCAAAACTAGAATGCAAGAGACAACTTTATGCTCTGTTAATTGATAACAACACATTATAATTATGGTGATTTAAGTCATAAGAAAAATGCAAAATTGAGGAATGCCATTACGGTTTGAACTGTCTCTTCAGTTTAGACCCTTTTTAGTTTCACTGAGGCAAAATTTAACAAGAGAGCAAGGTAGGTGTATCTTTTTCTGGCAATCGATTTTGAAATCTGAAAAACCAAACAAGAAAAAAATTAACTGTAAAACAAGTGTTTACTGGATTTAAGGGATCGGTAACTAAGGATATAGATACTAACAGGTAAAGAGTGCGATAGAACGTCAGTGCATCCAAACCCATAACATCAGACCATAAAATAGGATAAGAAACGATTTATTGGTTCAAATCACTTTTTTGTTACAAAGTCTGGCAATTAAACCGTCTTCTAAAAGGGGATACAGTGCTATGGATTGCGGATCATTTCGACTGATCCAGTTCACTGACCTGACGAAGAAAGGTAAATTTCAGTGAAACTGCTCTTTTAAGAGTTGCTCGACAACCTTGAAGTATACTAACCAACTGAAAAACTGTTAACAGTCCTTCAACACCCACTATCAGTTTAACCACTCATTGAAGGCTTTCTGTGACGGACTTTAGGCATGTTGGCTAGCGGGTATTAATAAAGTCTAAACTTTCAATCACCTGAATTCATTATATCTTGGACCGGTTTGATCTAACAATATCAATGATAAGGTTTTAATTAATGAAAAAGTTCAGTAGAACATTAAGAAAAAGTATGCTACCTGATTTTTCGATAGTAACTGCTAACACAACAAAATATTTCTTAGTCTGTTTCTTTGTTGATAATGTGAATAACATAATGCAAATGTAGTCACAACGCAGCAAGAAGCAAAAGGTCCATTGTATATTGCCTTCTCTTGAGGAGTTTCAGCATTCAAACCACGACGAATCAATCACTTTGCCTTGGTATTGCTGTAGTAGCCTCATCAAAGAGGACATAAGTTTTTGACACAATGTTACGGTTTAAGAGACAAACACGCACTCCTTTATCCCTGAATAAACATATTTTTCGTAACAGCGCAATCAACAATTTATGCTGAGAGGCGATTCGAAGTGATCCAGTCGACTGCACTTGAAAGATAAAAGATCACAGCCAGCGACTTGTGCATTATAATAAAACACTCAGGGCAAAGATGTCAAAAAAATCCCTAAGACTGATAGATACGGCCATGAATTGGTGTTGACAAATTATCTGCGGGTATTCTAATCTTTGTTCTTCTACATTTTCACTGGACGTATCCAGGATTTCGTCACATCCTAGTTTCGTTGAATTTATACGCTTTATGAAATAAAACCGTGATCTTTTAGCTTAACAAAGAAGATAAAACACGTGCAGAACAATGAAGGGAAAAAAATTAAGACACTTATTCTTTTTAGCCGGAACGTTCAAGTTTATCTCGCCCATGGGTTTCATACTTGGTTTATTTTCTCCACATTTCCTTTTTAGTCTGGGGTCATTCGTCACATAAAATTTAGTATCATATTTAAATATATATATCGAAAAGTTATTACAATAGTCATGGTTATAAAATTGTCTGAGAAATCTTAATTTTTCAAAAATTGTTCTTTCTTCCTCAGACACCAAAAAATGGTAAAGAATAAGTACAGAAAGATTACCAACTCTGCACTATTAGAAAACGTGAGCTTTTTCTCTACTCTTTTTTTTCAATGGATGAACAATTTGATGAAGACGGGGAGTGAACGTGCAGTTGATGAAAATGATCTTCTACCTCTTCAAGAAGAAAACACTACTCGTTTTTTGACAGAGAAGCTTCAGGCCAAATGGATCGAAGAAACAGCTGATAGCGAAAGACATGATCTTACACCAAAACTTTGGAAAAGTGTATTTAAGATGCTAACGAGGAAGGACTCACTGATTCTCATTACAGCTGGCAGTTTTATCACATTTTGTCGCATTCTCCAACCACTGCTGCTTGGATACCTCATAAAGTCCCTAATGATCGCAGATCTACAACACAATTATCTTCTCTACGGTTGTGCTTCCGCAATTGGGATAAACGAATTGGTCTGTTCTCTTAGCTCGCACCAATTTGACTACCACTGTGAGCTGCTGGGAATCAGGATAAGTTGTGCCCTTAAAGGATTAGTTTATATGAAGGTAAAGGTAATAAACTATAACTTTTATCGAAGGCGAACTGAACATGACAATAGAGAAAAATTCTTCCCACGTTTTCGTCAGGATATACCATCATCATCATCATCATCATCATGATCCTCATCCTTATTATTCTCATCATCATCATCCTCATCTTCCTCCTCCTCCTCATCGTCATCATCATCATCATCATCACCATCAGTCTTTTCGGTAGCTAGTGACACATACGGCGCGATCAGAAAAGAAAGGAAGTAGAGATTGTTATAAATATTAATGTATCATATGCCCGCCGTAGTCAATGGATAAAAATCGGTAGCAATCAAGTGAAATCGATATTATCGATTTTCATCGATTTTTCATGATTTAATCGATTCAACAGAAGTCCGCCATTGTTGTTTTTTGGCATAAGTTAGATAATACAGCTGAGAAAACACATCCACTAGTAACAACTGATCGATAAACAAGAAAATGCGAAACTATTTCACACACAAGTTTCTCTCTAAAACTCTATATTTTGTATACATCATAACAAAAACGGTTCGGTTTAATGATTTAATTACATTCAGTTCCTCGCAAGAAGGTATCACGAGAATACAATCTTTAAGAAAAAAAGTTCCTAGCCTGAAATTCAGACATCCCTTCGATTTGAAGGGATTTCTAAAATTCAGGTTAAAAGATTTCCCTAGATAGATTTTCATTGTTTTCAGTTAGCAATCGATGAAAATCCCTTGATTGCTGAAGATTTTTATCGATTTCGATTTTTACCTATTGATTACTCCGGTTTGTAACAACGCCTAGAACGGCACTGACGTTACTTTTGAAAGGGTGGCAGATCTAAATCGTGACAAATTGGGCGCTTACAAACCTGACCAATATAAGCCATCAGAAGATTTTAAACCAGGTCTTAAAGAAAAAAATCATAATATTTAAAAGATTTTTTGAAGAAGAGGTAATTGTTTGATCCTTGGACTCTCAATTGCAGCTCAATTGTTAATACATTTACTGTTTGCATGGATTCAGTTTTTTAAAAGAACATATGGTCTTCCGGTATAAATCGATTAAATCGGTAAAAATCAAGATAAATCGATGAACAAAACGCGTGTCATCGATTTCTACCGATTGATCAATACATTTGATATCAATCAAATCAGATATACCGTTTTTTATCGATTTATCGATTGACAAATCGATATTGGTTTTTATCTATTGCCTACTCCGGGCATATGTTAACATTTTGACGATCCATATTCGTCGTTATGCAGGGAAAGTAGTTTTAAGAGAACTCTTCCAGTAAGTGATTAATTTGGGTAAGATAAATACCTTCCTACTTTCTTGGCACTTTATACCGTCCTTCTACTTTTTTGCAGACGCTTCTCCTCAGCAAGGACTCATTGCTGAGACTTTCATCCGGTCGAGTTATCGATCTCGTATCCAATGACGTTCAGCGAATAGAGGGCGATACTTTCAACTTGTTTTTTCTGGGAGCTCGATCCATTGTAGAACTCTTGATAGTAACATTTTTTCTGGTCTACCTAATTGGATGGCAGGCTTTAATGGGAATTGTTTTACTGTGCATCTTCATGCCATATTTTGCTGGATTTTCCTATGCTGGAGCACAAGTGCGCCTGCGTACAGCTGCGGTTTCTGATCACCGCATTACGTTGATCAACCAGGTTGTTTGTTGGATCCGAGCCATCAAAGCAAATGCATGGGAACATGAATATAGGGACAAGGTTAAGACCGTACGAAGGTAAGCAAACTTTAACATAAGATAATTGGACTGAAGAGACATTTTAAGTTTTAGTACTAAACATCCAAAAGTGTCTGCAAACCTATTTTCTCACTGGTTTCAAACACAGCTGAGGACATGAAACGTAGATTGTATAATTTTTAAATAAACTTCTAATATGAACCTGAGCGATAAAATTTCGAACTCAGATACTTTAAAATTAATGAAAATTCGAACGTATAGTACATTATAATACTTGGAATTAAGTAATTTCACGAATTCATGAATTCCATAGAACAAATGAAGCAAATTTCGGGGGCACCCAACGAGGATATAGTTCAAAACCACTTAATATAGCATTGTTGAACGTATTTTAGTATTCAAACTGTAGATATAGGCATATTTTTATCCCCTAAAAACTTTTCATCTGTTCGGATTTCCTAGCTGAAAATCTAGTGATCCGAAAATTATAGGGATGAAAACTTGCCTTCTCGAAAATTTCAGCCAGGAAAAGGCTCCCGAAAATTCTAGGTGGCCTTTTTTAGGGTCAAAATCCGTTAAAATTGAGTAATTATACCATTTTGTAGATGTTCGAAAATCGTAGGAGAGGCAGGCAAGCAAGAAATTTTACAACAAATGCTCCGAAAATTCTAGATCTCAAATCGTCTTCCGAACAGATATTTTCCCGAAAATTGCCGTTGGGTGCCCCTGAAATTTTTTTATAACCCGTACCTTTTTTTTTTTATAGCAGTGAAATCAATTTCATCCGTAAGAAGAGCGCGCTTTTGTCGGGCATTGTTGCTCTCCAATACATTTCAACACCAACGGCGACCCTGGTGACTGTCATCACTCTTGTACTAACTGGCCAGCCCCTGACTCCTGTCAACGTCTTCACGTTACTCTCCTTTATCAATCTGCTTAGATCAAGCTTCTGTATGGAAATGTCCAACGGACTCATGGTATCATATGACGCTTACGTCTCCTTGAAAAGAATACAAGACTTCCTTTCTTTAGACAATCTTGATTCAACTAATACTGTGATATATCAGCAGGAAGGAACAGAAAAAATCTTTTTACCTCACAAATCACCGGATCAACAACAAACAACTATCTTAGGTGTCAGACATTATATTGACCAAAAGCAACAAATCGTTCTGGACGACGAATCTTCGCTGCAAGATATCGACTTCACAGTTGAAAAAGGAGGTTTAACAGTTATAACCGGACCAGTGGGCAGTGGAAAATCTACTCTTCTGTTAGCAATTGCTGGTGAGGTACCAGACCAGAACTGGGCAATTACCTTCAAAGGAACTGTTGTTTATGTGCCACAGATTGCTTGGGTATTCTCTGGGACTATCAGAGAAAACATTTTATTTGGCGAACAGTACGAGGAATCTAAGTACACCAGAGTCATTGAAGCATGTGCTTTGAATCAAGACATCAAGAAGTTTCCAGACTGTGACCAAACAATCGTTGGAGAGCGTGGTGTGGTGCTAAGTGGTGGCCAGAGAGCAAGAGTAAGTTTAGCACGCGCAGTCTACGCCGAAGCAGACCTTTACTTGTTGGATGATCCCTTAACTGCTGTGGACTTTAAAGTCGCCAATCACATCTTTAGGGAATGCATCAAAGGTCTCCTTGGACTGAAAACCCGATTAATAACCTCCCACCATGAAAGGGTCATGCGAGAAGCCGACGACGTTATTGTTTTACATAATGGCCGAATGTTGGGTAAGGGAAGTTTCACAGAGCTAAAAGAAAATGGTATCCTGAATGAAACGGTTGATTCAATGTATGAGAAAGCAAAAGAATCGGATGATATTGTCGTTAAGGATAATGAAGACAAAAATGGCATTTCTGGCGTGGGTGGTGCAGATGCACCCCATGAAGCGCAGGCTCTCCGCTTATCAGAAGAAGATCGAGTTATCGGGGTTGTGTCCGCAAGCCTTTACTGGAACTACTTTAGAAGCGGGGTACCTTTGCTGGTTATTATCGCAGTAATTTGCTTGTTTCTTGTTACTCAAGGTAAGCCCTTTTAAGATGACAGGAATCGCTTATAGTGTCCCCTCACATTCACAAATTAGCCTATCAAATAAAGGATATAATGTTCAAAACTACTAAGGGCTATAATGATAACCTGATTCTGAAAGAAAATCGGTAATTGGGAAAACCAGGCTTACCATGCTTTTGACTGAGAAGTTTCAAATAGGCTTATAAGGAAAACCTGGATATTCTGGACTTACCAAGTGTTTCTGGTAAAGTGTTTTAAATCGAAACTGAATTACCATTAAAAATACCTACAAAAAGCTTACCTCAAAACCTCGGTAAAACCAGGCTTAACCAAGCTTCATTGTTTCTAAATCATATTTTTTTAAGCATGGTTTACCATTCTTACAAGCCTTTCAACCAGACATTTGGTGCAAGGGATTTTTGTTTATAAAATGTTACACATAGCGCATCTTTTATGGCAGATTGATTTACAGGTAATAAAAGTGTTGACGTCGTATGACTTACAGGTACCTAGAGCACAATTTCCGTGTTAATTAAGCTCCGACGAGAGAGAGCGATCAGGTGCTAGCAAATTTTCCATTTAACTTGTTTGGAAAATGAGTTTGGCACATAGCAACTGCATGCCTAAAACTGTATAGTTGCGAGTGGAACGAGAGGTATTCTTCTGCTGCACAAAATCGATACCGATCCAATCGGCATCAAAATAAGAACAGAATATCTGTAACTTGGTGAATATATACTGTAAGAGATAAGTAGAAGGCTTTAGTTTTAAGTAAACCTCTCGTGGTAACTGATGGATAAATCCTTCCGATCCAAGTTCACCATCAATTTTTGTTGCCCTTCTTTAAAGACATTCAACTTAAGCAACATTTCTTATTGACTGAGGAGCCCAGATCTCCCCAGCTTAATTCAGGAGACCTGATTTGACAACTGTAGAACAAATTTTTTTGGTGTCAAATTTCGGCATGTGTTTGAAGAAATATTTGTTTTGTGCTTGAGTTAATATTGTTTATGTCTTGTTTCAAAAGGTCACTTTTAAACGTGAGTGACTTCGAAATGCTTTTACAAGGTCACCCGAGACGGAGAATCATCTGTAGGTTTATAGTCTAAATTTGCCGTTTCTAGTCTTTTTCTTGGTGCACGCTTGGAGACATGGAAACCTATAGCACTCGTATGTTACAAAACGGATTTACATGAAAATTAAAATTATAAAGCTAGATTATCCAGACTATCCACGAAACAAGTACAAATATTAATGCCGACCTCCAGTCCAGACACACAAATTTATCTTTTAACACAAACGAGTCTCTCACCCTTCTTTTCCTGATATTCATTTCAGCAATGATGGTTTCCTGCGATGTGTGGCTGTCACTTTTGACAAATAAGCGTCCAGAAGATCAAAAGAATAATACAAACCTTATCATCTACGGTTCTCTTGTCGGGGCATCTTTCATATTTCTCTTCAGTCGGATATTTGGGTTCTTTTTGGTATCCTTGCGATGTTCTGAGCGTCTTCATGCTAAAATGGTTATGGCTATTCTACAAGCACCGGTCTTCTTCTTTGATTCAAATCCCGTGGGAAGAATTTTGAATCGCTTCTCTAAAGATGTGGGCTGTATCGATGAGGTACTACCCAAAACGTCCCTGAAAGCAATCCAAAGGACCTTGCTGATGTTCACCTCAATTATTCTACCAACTGTAATAAACCCTTGGCTTCTGTTTGCTGTCGTACCAGTTGCTGTGTTAGCTGGAGTCATTTCAAGATATTACTTAAAGACTTCCAGGGAACTAAAAAGGATTGAGTCCATTGGTCGCAGCCCCGTCTATTCTCATTTTTCGGAAACCCTAGATGGACTAGAGACGATTCGGACAAGAAATAGAAAAGCTGATTTCCTGGATGAGTTTTGCAGGTATTTCAAATTAATTCAGTTTAATCATTGTTCTTTGTTTGTTTGTTTGTTTTTTTGTTTACCTTATTATTCGAGCTTAATGTGCTTGAAATGAGAAGCTGAATGAAAATTAGTCTGGACAACGAAGGAATCGCAGAAAGTAGGAAAGCCATCTGATTGAATTTCCGACGAGCAATTTCCAATCGGATTAATGTCCAGACTAACCTAGAGCAAATTGGTACCAGCGATACACAACAGAAAATAGACATAGTTATTACATCTACTCGCTCTGTATAGTATACAGTAACGAGAGTAAAGTAAGTCCACGAACGAATTCCTTTGTAAAAAAAATCGCCGAATGGCGTAACATTCTTGGACTACTCATACAATTCATGTCGTAATATTTATTCAGCAGTATCTCGATGTTATTTAATCACCCCAATTACGCTGTCGACATTACAGTGCAAAATGCTTTGCAAAGCACACACTCATGTCTTGTGCATTTTCGTGGCTTTAAGCCATCTTAAGCATGGCCTTTCCACTTGAGTCTACAGTACTTTCACCTCCAAAGACCAAATGGTGGTATGCTAAGATCTGATAAAAACGTTTCATATCTTCATCGTTATTTTTGTTGTTTTTTAGGCATCAAGATATTCACACTCAATCATACATTATGGTTTTAGCCAGTCAGCGTTGGCTTGGTGTACGCTTGGATTCTCTTTCTGCTCTGTTGACTGGTGCAGTGGCTCTTGCTGCAGTGTTTGTGGCTAAAGATGCTGGTAAATTGACTTGTTTATGTAATGAGAAACGGAACTGATTATTCAATATTTATAAGTGTCGCTTTTTAAGATCCCTGAATTTCCCGCAATGTTTTCCCTTTATGTAGAACAGTATAATACAATGCCTTTTAATTATACACGATCTGAAACTATAAGCTCCGTCTTGTGGGGTCGTGTTAAAAAATGCTAAAACAAGAAGTATAAGTTTTATTTCAAACGTAAAAAATGTATAGATACATAAGACTTTTTACAGTGATAAGGCATTAAAACCAAGTTCCCATTTACTACACAATAACATTCATTTTAACAATTAAGGCGGTATGCTGAGGTAATTCCTTTTATTATTTGCCTTGAACAGTCCCATTCAATGTACTTGTGGCTTGTTCAGTGATAATTTCTGCCATGCATGGTGAATATATTGTAAATCACACCTGAATATATTGTAAGTTAACCATATTAAAAAAAGGCTCTTCTTGCTACTTGAGATTAGGGGGCCAAAGGGTTAATTCATGTCACCGATTTTTTTGGGCATGTTCCTTATAAAACTGTCGAATTTAACAAATTCTTGGTTTGCAACCACGTGACAAGGCGGCCATGTTGGGGGTCAAAACAAAAGAATATTTCCTCGAAAAATTTACATGAAAATAGAGTTTAGTTCCCACAGGAGAGAAATGCTTTTGTTCTTGACCACCAACATGGCCGCCGTGACGTCACGTGCAAACCAGCAATTCAGATCTTGGATCTGCCATTTTGAATTACATTAAATGTATTCGATTTTGCTTAAAACTCGTATAGATTAAAGTAATCGGGATATAAATTTGACCTGTGTTTCAAAGGATGCTTAAAATTAAAAGCAAAAAGATATGCAATTTCTGAAATTCCGACGCAAAATTACACTTAAAATCCAATAAGAAAAAAAAGGAAATTTTGAAAAACCTTTGCTGAAAAAACTCGGATTTCGCGTTCCTTTCGGCAAATCCAAATCCGTATTTTTGTTCCGGTGAATCCTTTTTGAAAAAGGATTCACTGGATTTGAAATCCGAATCTAGATTAACGAATGAGTGATCTACGCTGTTCTATTCACAGTGGATCCGAAATTAGTCAGATGATCCAGCGGTATTTCCATTTGAAGTATTCCCGTAGAGTTGCCTAGTTGCTACAATTTCGCCGTAAAACATCTAAAAACACTGGAAGATTGTTCCTGGTACTGTAAAATATCCATGTGCTAACCATTCGTCGCTAAAGATTGCTTAAAAACACAAATAAGTAAAAGGGACAAATGAAGTGCTATCTCTCTATGAACTCACTTCTAGACGCGATAGGCACTCGATTGTGTTACATAAAAAAAAACCCAGCTACGAGACTGGATCAGACTGGGCCGAAACCTTTAGATAATTTTCAACTTTAACGCGCTTCTTTCTTGATCTTTTTATGTTCCATCAACGCTATTCGAACTGCCGACCACAAAATTCTGCACGGTATAATCGCATAATTTGTCAAACAGTAGAAAACACGTCATTTCTTGAGAGGTTGTCATGCATATTGCTCGCGTTTGCGAAAGGTTACCAAGGATACAAATCCAATTTCGGATTTCGCGTTCCTTTCGACCTCGAAATCCGGCAAATCTCGGATCAAAAATCCGTTTTTGGATTCGCCAAAAGGAACACACCCTTATTCATCTTTAAAGTTTGTTCGGGGCCTAAAAAAAATCGTTTCAGGTCTCAATATTATAAGGGTTAAACCTGCCATCTTATATGTACCCTTTGTTGTATACTAAGATAGTGGATGGTGTTTTTCGCACGCTCTGCTGACTGGCTACTCCAACTCAGAATATCCAGTACTATTCACTTCTGAGCAACGCCAAACTTGCGAAATTTAAGAGCAAAATGGCTTCCGGTTTCCTACCGCGACAAACAAAGAATTTTCACAAATAAACGAAAAATAAAATAACATAATACTCTTTGTTGTCCCTCCAAAATTTGCATGAGCATTGCAAGTCCCAAGAGAAATTGAAAACAATGCTTATGTAAAATTTTGGCGTGGCAACAAGGAGCATTATGGTATTTTTGAAAAAGGCCTATTTAGCTTGACATGTTCATAAATATGCTTAGCTAAAACTAAATTAAATGTTTGTTTGTTTTTTTACGGATTAGTTTCAAATACAGGAGGAATTCACAACTTCTTTGGAAGAATTGTTCCCGCAAGAGCTAAGCAAATGCCTTTAAGTATTTATTTGTCGGAAAGAAAACGTGACCGCCGTTCGGACATTTGCGTGCCAAAATTGTAATCGTTGGCAGCAATAAATTAGTTTAAAATCCATTTTTGTGCTCAATTCTCTCACTACTCAGGTCGCTAGTGCTGGGTATTTACCGAGCGGCGTAATTATTCACCACTGGTCACCTCTACTTCACTCAACTTCAGTGAATAGTTGTTATGTAATTATTTAAAAAATGCACAAGTGAAAAATTAACCAAGGTGAACCTCGCTCTATGAAATATGCGATGCGTTGGGAGAGATATTGCATGAGATGAGATGAAATACTGTAAAGCCTGTTCAGGTTTGCGGGAGCCCTAACAAAAATAACGTCTCTGCCTCTTTAAACGACCATACCATTTTTCAGTGCTAAAAAAGACTGGTTGGCTTTTCCAATTTTAGACTAACAACTACATGAAAATTGCCGCTTCTTACTAGATATTCTCCATCCTTTCTCCTTCAGTTTTCGCTGGTCTTGTCTTGTTTTACGTAGTCTGAAGCGCGTGAAAAGCGTTCAAAAAGATGAAGGTTTGTGTTGATTAATAATTTTCTCTTTTATTCCTTGCAGCGTTAGTTGGACTATCTCTGGTTTACGTGGTCCAGAGCATGAATATGACGCAATATGCCGTCCGTCAGTTAACAGAGATCGAAACTCTAATGACATCAGTTGAGCGAGTAACAACCTACACAGAGCTGGAATCTGAAACTGGATACAAAGTGGAACGAAAGCCTCCGGAAATCTGGCCACATGAGGGAACTATTGCATTCAAAGACGTATACCTAACGTACTATCCAGGTGGTCCTCAAAGCCTAAAGAATATCACACTTAACATCAATGGAGGGGCCAAGATCGGAATTGTGGGCCGCACGGGTGCAGGGAAATCTTCTTTCGTGGCGGCACTTATGCGCATGCCTGAAGCTGGTGGAGATATATTGATTGATAATGTCAATATAAGTAGTATCAACCTCCAAGAATTTCGACGGGCAATAACCTTTCTTGGGCAAAATCCTGCCCTCTTCATTGGATCTTTGAGACAAAATCTTGATCTTATGAAGTAGTTTGAAGACGCGGAACTATGGCGCGCTTTAGAAAAGGTGCAGCTGAAAAGTCTTGTAGAGAATCTGGAGGGTCAGTTGGATCATAAATTATTGGAGCACGGTACAAAAGTGTTGGGGAACGCCAACTAATTTGCTTGGTTCGTGTGCTGCTACAGCAAAAGAATATCGTCATTTTGGATGAGCCCACTGCACACGTGGATCCGGACACGGAACAAACAATCTGGAACATAGTGCGCGAGGAACTCAAATCTTCCACGGTTATCACGATAGCACATCGTTTGAACACAATTAGAGACTGTGACAAGATTTTAGTCCTAAAAAGTGGGGAAGTTACTGGGTTTGATACGTTTGATGTGCTAATAAATAGAAAAGGAGGAATTTTGAGCGAAATGGATCATGTAACAAAGGCCGCCACATAGAAGTTATGCTCCATCCACAAAATTAAAATAAAATTAGGGTGACATTTCAAGGATGTCTTCAATGCCAGCGTTAAAAGCTATTTTAGTCGCTAAGTAAGTAAATATATTCCGTGAGGAAAGCTATGCGCGCGAACGTGCAACTCGGAAATAAGCATGCTCAAAGGTGTCTTCATTTTAATACTGTTTGTCCTTGTCTACAGCTAACTTTCTCATGTATGACATAGCGCCAAATATTTTTTATTGTTCAAATTAAAGATACTTCAATATTTTATATTAACCAGGTTTCCTGAGGGTGGATTCATCTGCAGCATACTCGAGGTCTTATACCAAACAACTAGAAAACCCGCTTATTTCCATAGCCTCCATGGTACGCGTATGGGTTATGAGATAAATTGATACAGTGGCGTTCGTGTAAATGAAAAATAGGGACTTTAGGATCCAGCGACGCGGACGAAAACGAGAACGTCAAAAAACAATTGGTTTAATTAGCAGAACAACAACTTCGCACGTGCATCACACTTTTTTGTACATTTCTTTCCCGTTTTTGCAGGACTACGACGTGAAAGTGCCTAATTTCGCTTTTTATGGAGGACGTAAACAAGCAAGAACGAAATTTTATTTCTCTTTCTGAGCTTGAATTTGGTCCCTTGAAATTCAGATTCAGGAGGGTTCGCCTACAATCGACAAACTAAGTGGGTAGGAATAATCGCTATAATGACTGAAACAAACCAAATTCACTATTTAAGCGACGTTCTCTTTGCCGCCACGTCGTTGAATCTTAAAGTCCCTAATTCAAACAAGCAGCGGCAAACACAATAAAAGAGACAGACATCGCAAGTTGTGGGGAGGGATTTATTGTGGGAGTGATACCAATGCCCTATAAAGACTCGACGTTTTTTTTTTTTTCCTGTAGAGCCTGAGGATTCATTCTTACTGCGGTTTTTACCGACGGGCAGATGACGAAAATCAATAGGACATTTTACAATAACTGAATTATTTCCCGAGCACGGATTAGCTAATTTTTATGATCAATACGAGGAAAGACACATAAATTTAAATTTATGCAAGACGTGGTCATTTGCAAAACGAATGCCAAACCTCGATGTTTTTCTTTAGTTAGCTTCGTAGAAGATTCACTTTCTGTCTACTAAGAAAAATAGCCACATACCTCTGATGCAAGACTTGCATCCTGTTTGGATTCTCTACAAAAAGCTTAAGCAGAGAAAACTGAGCAAAAACTCTTATAGTTTCCAAAAGCGCAGATGATTAGCTAGAAATTGTACAGCTTCAAAACTGCGATTCAGATAAGCTTCTAATATTCATACCTAGTTTTAAAGTTAAAAGTGGTAAGAAGACAATTCGGGAAGTCTAGTTTATTGAAAATAAAGACGTTAACTAATTAATAAACGAAGTAAGTTTATTTCATCGCGTTGGGCCTAAAGAGGCCACTTCAAAAGTCTATTTTGTTCCTAGATTGTACTTCCATACATACTTCTAAAGCAAGTTCTGAATAAAGTTGGAAGCAGTTTCACTGAGTATTGCTTATGAGCTAATGATAGGAACCAGTGAAATAATCGTTGGACCTAGTTGCATATGGAAATATTTTTTAATACCGGGAGCCATGTAGCATGAGCTAGTGACTTATCTCTCGGTGTAAAACAGTATATTCTGTAACTTATCTTTGTGGCACGCAGTGTAAATAAGTCAGTTTTTAACTGTATAAAATGACCACACCGCCCTCGGCTTAAGGAAATCTTTTGTACATGTAAGAAGGAATGTCCATCACATTAATTGTCATCGGAGAGAGAGAGAGAGAGAGTTTCGAAAAAGAAGTTTTAAATTTAGTGCTGCTGTGCTTTGGAACCAGCTCTCGAATGAAGCAAAACTCACAGAGTCAGACTCTTCCCTTAAAAAGCTCATTAGATTGTCGTTGGGTCTCTTGCCAAGCTGTGTACCTTAATGGTAGTTAACGTTTCGTATGACTTTCTGTAATAGCAATAGTAGTATTAGCCAACACCCTCATCGCCTTGTGGTATACAAATCGCGCCTCCACCCCGTTGGCTCGAAAGGAAGTGTGTTTTGCGTAAGCAAGAACATCCCAGTATGCGTAAGTTTCTTCTAACTCGTACAACAGTTTTGGCTCCATCCGTGAGTACCAAGGAGAGTCTGCAACCTTGAGGTCCCTCAGCATTTAAAAGAACAGCACCTTTAGTGCAACAGTATTATACCTCTCCATTTACTTAGTCTGCGCCAGCGATAAACATCCCGCCAAAACGTGAGCAAGGTTTTCTGCTACGTTACCGCACATTCTGCAGATGGTGTTAATTTGGTCCGAAGTACCAGTCTCATAGGCCGCATAAACTCGGGTTGGTAACAGCTGCTCATAAGGCTCCAAAAATCCCTGAGATAGTATGAGTAGAAGCTCACGCACACCCACTCGACCAGGCAAAACAGCCGTGTTCACTCAGCTGGCCGTCCTCCCATCTGGTTCACAGCAGACGTCCTTGCAATCTCTTGTCTTCCATCTCATACCTACTGGTCCTCTTCTCTGGGGCTTGCTGCGAGCTACATGATGTATCGGGAGTGGCCAAATTCAGACTACTCCACAAGTCTTCAGTTACTCCACAAACTTGTGCGTGTCTTTCACAATATGTGCACTCTAATAAAAAGTCTATAAATTTACAATTTATAAACATTTTATTATCTCTGTAAAAGGGCCAGTTTTTACAGTGACAAGTGAGGAGAACCCTTCTCTCATGCTTTCTCTTTAAATGTTCGCAATTTGCTTCTCATCATTGGGTCTGGATTCATGGCCGCCTTGATCTTAATTAATTTGTACTCTTGTTCTACAGACTTGAGTCCACGATACCCTTTAACTACACCACTAGCTACAGTGGTAATTCTCGCTGATTAACTCCTTCATCTCTCTGTTAATGCTTTGCAGCTCTCCCAATGGCCAATGTCGGGTCCACATGGGGTATTGAATCTGATGGTCGAGGAAATCTCATTTCTCTGCATTGAACGTAGGAGCTGTGTTTCTGGTATTCAGTTTGCACAGGGGTTCCGGATCGCCCTACAGAGCCAGCTGTGGAACCGGTGTACTTCTGTAATCTCGTTTAGCCACTTGTGATCAACAGAGTCATAGACCTTCTTTTTATCCACCCAAGCAATGCTTAAGTTTCTTTTACCTCGATGGTAATCCTATCAATCAAAAGGTTATCCGTGGTACTACTGAAACCAGCCTTGGCACCCCTTTGCTCACTTTCCATTAAATCATACTCATGTAGATGACTGTCTAAAGGACTCTGAAAAAGACGATGTGAACCACTTGTAAATATTATTCAAGCAAGTTATCGGACGCTGATTTTCCCTTGAAAAAGCTCCCAGCTTGGGGATAAGTAGGGGTTTTACCCTCAGAAAACGGGGTAGGGGTAGACCTCTTTTTGATTTGCAACAGATAGGAACGCTTGTGTGATGTCTTCGTGAAGTGCGTTCGCTCTCTTCCACCAGTAATTTTAATTACTAGTTAAAACAGGTCTGTCAGGCCCAGGTGCTCTCCAATTTCTCTTCTTAAGAAGAACTTTCACGGCCTCAGATTTCTCTAACTCCCACGCCTCATACGAAGGAGGTGGAACGCGAGTCCGATAAGAAAATTGGTTGAACATCTAGGCAATTCGTATCCAAGAAATTGTTCACCAGCAACACTGATTTGCTGTAATTTATACAGTATGAAATCACAAAATAAATTAGCCAACCACAAAGGCTTCTTATCTCATCAAGTGCACGCCTCCAAAATTTGACTGATCGCTTTACAACAAAACGTAAAAAGGGTCGAACCTTTGGCTTTCCGTTACCACAGTGAGCAGGGCTCCCTTTTTAAAAACCAGCTGACAAACTTGATGGATGAATTTGTTTGTTTGGCTAGCGCTGCTAGGGTGGCGTAAAGAATTTTTTTATTCGGTTTTTTATGAAGGGCCTGAACATATAAGATCGAGGTTTTCTTTCTTTCCCAGTATTGGAAATCCGTTAAAAACTTTGGAACTAGGTTGCAATAGGTCATTATAATTGTAACGACAGAGTAAAACAAGATTAATATAAGCTTACGTTATATGCTAGACATGGGTTTATTCAAAGTGGTTATACTTCGTTTCACATTTTTTCTTGAAGCAATAATAAAAGAGAGTTCCTTACTAAACAAAGATACAACTGTAACAAGACAATGAACATGCAGACAATAAAGAAGAGTTCCTTGCTAATCAAAGATCAACTGTAGAAATTCAGGGTGAACTCCCTCAGATAAAGATCGAGTAGTTGACATACACAAATACATGCACTCAGAAATATAACGAAGAGTTACTGAGTTACGGTCCACTTTGTATAAATGGTGATACTCTGACCCCAGGCATAGCTGATTATGATAGCGAGAATGCAACGAATTGGCCTCGCTCAACTCATGAAAAGATGAAAACAGAAAAAAAGTGGCGGACGGGCGAAAACCGAATCCCCAACGTTCCCTGCCAAGACAAAGCATCTGAAAATTCACGTAAAAGCTTATGATGTTATTCCTTTCAACTGGCATGGGGTCATAAAAAGTAGTAAGAAAGGATGACTACCCGTTTAGTTCATTTCTTTAATTTTAAAGATGAAATTAAGAACACAACGGTTTTAAAGCAGTTCTCTTGACTTTTCAGGGTTTTAAAATATGCATGTCAAACCCGCCTTAAACGCCGTCTTCAGAAAAAACGACATTAGCAAAAACAGTCCCTTTGACGTGATGGACTGTTGATGGAAATTTCGTGATATGCTTTATAGTATTTGTAGTATTTATTTATTTATTTGTTTCTTTGTTTTTCATTAATTTACTTTATACTCTTAATGTCAGATCTCGAGGGAAACCAGTTAGTTTTGTTTTCCCTCGAGTCCTGATGTTTCCCTTGACGAATTTGGTATACTTCTAGACTGTCACTTCAATCAAAAAAGTCGACTCGGTACTTGTAAAAACACAAATTTAATTCTCAAAACCTCCACTGGGATAACCTTGAAAATCGTTGCTTTTTATCTTGAGGCTTCATGATTGTGTTGTTAAGTTCATTTACGAAAAAGAAAACTGGCAGTGTTTTTCCCGCCTTCTGTCACGCCACTTTCTACCATGCTTTGATCATGTGCTGTAATGTATCCCGAGCGGGGCACAATTGCTCAAATGTATCTCGATCGGGATACATTATTTTGATTTTAGTCAAGGCCGTGTGACCAAGAATCAACCAATGACAGTCCCTGTTTAGTTGAGTGAAAGTCTAGGAATATAATAATATTTACTGGTTTTATGTTTTTGATTGCCAACTAGGAAATGGCCCCAGTGTTTTGGGGGGATCCATACAGTACAATACATGACGAGCAAATACTAATATCTTTTAATTCATGTCACGAATCACGTAATTCAAATGTATAAACCCTTGTACAGCTGTAGTCAGTGGAGCGTTTTGAGGTCTTAATTTGACTCAATTCACAAGTTTTCCCTCTGGCTATGTACCCTTAAAGCGTGAAAAAGCCGCAAACCAAAGGAATCACGCGAATGTACATCACGAAATTAGATCCATGAACAAGAAAAATTTGATTGGACAATTTTAAGTGAATCCGGAGTAACACGTTAGTAAATGTGTTAGATGTGCTTTTACGCCAGTTAACGGAACTATAGCTTCGTATACAAGCACCTACGTCTGGCGATACCGTAAGTTAAATAAATGGCATCTAACAGAGTACACCCGTCGAATGATGATCTTGAACACTGGAGTAGAACAGATAACAAACCTTTAAATACGACACCAAATAATAGGAGAGGAGCCTATGAAGTCGATGAACGGATGGAAGACGGTGTAGATTTTGGGTCGACAAACGGAGCAGAAAGGCAATTCGAAATCGTTGGCAAAACAAGCAGTCTTCTATCTCGACGTTTGGTGGTGTTTTTCTTGACTTTCGTATCTCTAGTTTCTGTAACGACTTTATTTCTGACTGTCTTAATCATTTATGGAAAAATTGGAAACAGGTGCAACTGCGCAGATTCGATGACAGAGAGTCAACAGGATCAAGGTTAGAATCATCTAATTTAATAGCTGGTTCATTTCTGCTGCAGTGCGGTAGTTACTGATTTTTTTCAGACAAACTCAGACTTGCTGCGTGAGTTTAAAGACTACTGATACTGAAATTTTGACGTTTCGTCAAAAGTCTGTCAATAATCTGTCTCGGTGTGTTTTTCCAAACAATGTCATCAATTTGTTAGTCATATTAAAACAACATCAAATTAAATGACCAAAATGCTGCATGTTATTATCTTGAACAGCTGGTCAGTCTTCGAGTCAGGACTTTCAATTTTGTAAGAAATGTTCACTTGATCCGGGTCTCTTTAAAGTTGGTGAACTTTAAACATAAGTTAATTTTGGGCCAAATCTTCTTGTCTAGAAATATGTAACTAATGAATTTTTCAAGCCCTTCCTTAGGCGACTTAGCTACCAATTTAATAAGTAAGCAAATAACAACTTTAAAAGTTTGAGTGTTAGCCTAAGTGTGTTTGTTTCGTTGGTGCTTGCGTAAACTATCAACCTGTACAGACAAACAGCTTATGGGGCTGTCAATAAGAGCGTACGTAATACTACACATTCGTTGTTCGATGATGTTTCATAGCGCGATTGCCCATTGTTATTCCAAAGGGTTTACCTAAAGGTAAACAGAATGCATAAGGGAAGTAATAAAATTTGACAACCGTTTTTCAATCAAGGCGATAAAAAGCCAACGCCAAGCTTAAAGTTCGGGTTGGTAATTCTGAAAGGCTACAGTTTAAGAGTTTGATCCACCAACATTCCCAAACATGATTTCTAAGTTACTTTTAAGTTTGTCTTATTTTTCCTGCTTGCCCTGAACGGAAACAGTTCAACAGTTTCATCCACCGACATTCCCGAGCGTGATTTCTAAGTTATTTTAAGTTTGTCTTATTTTTCCTGCTTGACGTTTTAGCTCTGAAGGGAACATAGGTGGTACTTAGTAAAACACCTACCACATATAGCGGCATATTTCTTCCTTTATTAATAAAAAAATTATTATGTGATAAGTGTTTATAAAACATAATAACTTTGTCAAGGAGATCTTATGCGACAAAAACGTTAACTATTTCAAAATATTGTTTTTGGGGTTACGTCAACGTTTCTAAGATACGCAAAACAGTTGACCGCATGACACATAATGTCATTTTGTTGGTGTTAATTCGTGCGTAACTTTTCAAGAAAGAAGGGTGTTGCATTTACAAATTAATATCCATACTTCCTATTCCTTTCCACTAACTTGATCTGTTTGTTATTATTTCAATCATCATCACCAAACCATTGACGGTAATGAATAGGCAAAATGGGATGATAAATGTTTCTTGAATGTAATGAAATGACAGCCGCCAATGAGACATCTTATTCACTTCCCTTCATTTGTTCAGGAAAAAACGGAGCTTTTGCGAGTTTTTGCTTTGAGATGCAATTTGATGTCCATAACTCTTTCATCTCCCTAGCAGCTAGGATGGATACTATTTTACTATACCTTTGTTCTGTTGTTGGTAGTTGGAAGTTGATACTACAGTTCACTTACCTATCACGATCTTGCGATTCCAAAAATATTTGGATCATCTTTTTACATGTGATTGTCATCTCAGTCATATCTGTGTAAACGTAGTTGCACTGTCGACGGCTAAAAGCGACATATAAACCTTCAACAAGGAGATATTCTGTAATTTTAAGTAGTATAATAATGATGATGATGTGAACGTTATGGTTACAAACTCCCTTGCTTAGTTCTCCTATTGTCTTGCAGCTTCAGAATCTTCTTCAACTCAAGCGCTGTCTTCTGATCCAGAAAACAACGATGACTTAGGGAGAGTGAAAGTGCTAGAAGAAAATGTAACTAAATTACATGAGGCTCTGGTAAGAAAAAAGTCATACAGTTAATTCAAATCACAGAGGTGGGCAGCGTTCATGTTACAACTCTCAGCTGTATACCTCCCTCAAAAGCATAAAACGTCATCTAAACTTACACTCAGCATTTGAGTGGTATCTGATCCATTGGCCTTTGCGTTAGCGCTGCAGTCCCCTACCAGCTGAGCTACGAAGACCGATATATTGGTAGCAGGCGAATTTGTGGAGTTCATATTAACCCATGAAATGAATGAAACATGAAATAAAGATAATGTAAACTGCGGAAATATAAAATTGTTAAATGAAGACATGATTGTCGCCGTTGTAATAGCATACAATTTAAGTCGATTGCAACTTAACCCCTCCCCCCCCAGCCCCCCCAAAAATAAAAGGCTTCAAGGGTATTCGAATCCATGGCCTCTGCGTTCACCCTGTAGTGCTCTATCAGCTGAGCTATGAAGAACCACACGTTTGAAAGCAGATCAATTTGTTGAGTTCATTTAACCCGATTACGCATTTCCAAAAACGACACCTGATGACCCATGTAGGGCAGAAACGTTTCGAGATTCAAGCAAAAGTGTTCGAGTCCCATGATTCAGCCGTAGCTACTATTTCCTTCAGTTGACGCCCTAATTTAGGGCTAATAAAGGAGTTCTAATACTTTGACATAGTTCTTAATATAACGCTTAGTTCATTACTTAACTATTTTTTATATTATTCATTGTGTAGGAATTGAAAACAAGTGAACTCTGGAAGGCGTTACAAATTATCGAGGACAAATATGGAAATGCAACAGCACTGGTAAGGTTAAAAGAATCAAGCGTAAAACCATCCAGCCTTGTTAAATTTAAACTCATGATCAGTTGATTTGTAAGATTTAAATATCGTTCTTCAGATTAGAAAATACGTTATCATCTTCTCGGATAGCACGGCTAAGAACGCTGCAGTTTTGACTTGTTAAGAAAAATGTATTGATACAATTATCATTAACGATGCCGCCACAAAATTATTCAGGCCATCTCTTATGAGAAGCTTTGAATTTTGAAGCAACTGATAAAGTCAGGTTTAGTTTATATTTACTTAATTTCGAGGTTTCTTGGAGATTTGTTGGAAGTACTTTTGAGTACAATTCTGAAGCATTTAGGGTAACACTATTAGGGTTCTGTTTACGCTATGCTATACTAAGCATTGTTACACTTTAAAAATATTTATAGACCTGAGTCACTTTTTATGGTTATAGCTTACGGTTGCCTTTGTTTTACAGTGGAAATCAAATAATACTAAAACCTATGTACTCCATTTATTTTAAAACTTCTTTTGTTTTTGTCAGGTGATGACACTGGAAAACCTGAAAGCACAATACGAAAGTTATTCTTACAATTGCTGTCAGAGTTTCATAAGTAATTTCAGTGGTTCCCAAGTAGAAAGTGGCCCACCAGGTCCTCCAGGTGTTCAAGGACTGACTGGTCCTCCAGGTTCAGCTGGACCACAAGGTCCACCGGGCCAAAATGGCTCACATGGTCAACCCGGTCCTAAAGGTTCACAAGGCCCACCCGGACTTCCTGGTCAACAAGGAAATAATGGCTTACAAGGCCCTCCTGGGGAACAAGGCTACAATGGCTCACGTGGATTACAAGGTCCCATTGGTCCGAAAGGATACAATGGTTCACGAGGTCCTCCAGGACCACGCGGACTCCAAGGCTATAATGGCTCACAAGGATTGCAAGGCCCGATTGGTCCACCAGGTCCAGCAGGACCGCAAGGTCCACAGGGCTTCAATGGTTCACAGGGATCGCCTGGTGCCATTGGTCCCCAGGGATTCAACGGATCTCAAGGCCAGCCTGGAGAAAAGGGTCCACAAGGTTACAATGGATCACAAGGCCCACCTGGTTCCGTTGGTCCACAGGGTTTGAATGGCCCTCAAGGCCCTCCAGGGCCGCAAGGTACCCCAGGTTTTAATGGAACCCAGGGGCTACCAGGCACAGTTGGAGCACCAGGCCATAATGGCACACAAGGACCCGAAGGCGTTCAGGGTCGTCCAGGATACAATGGCTCGCAGGGTTTACCTGGTCCTGTTGGTCACCAAGGATATAATGGGTCACAAGGTGCTCCGGGTGGTCAGGGTCCCCGAGGGTATAATGGCTCCCAAGGTCCACCAGGTCCACAAGGTTATAATGGCTCTCAAGGCCCTCCTGGTCTCCAAGGATATAATGGGTCACAGGGGTTAGCAGGTCCTATTGGTCCACAAGGTTACAATGGCTCTCAAGGCCTTCCCGGTTCCCAAGGATATAATGGATCACAAGGCGCTCCAGGTGTTCGGGGTCTCCAAGGATATAATGGGACACAGGGGCCACCAGGTCCTGTTGGAGCACAAGGTTACAATGGATCTCAAGGCCCTCCTGGTCTCCAAGGATATAACGGGACACAGGGGGCACCAGGTCCTGTTGGACCACAAGGATACAATGGCTCTCAAGGCATACCTGGTCCCCAAGGATATAATGGGTCACAGGGAACTCCAGGTATTCAGGGTCCTCGAGGCTATAATGGATCACAGGGGCCACCAGGTCCAATCGGTCCACGAGGATTCAATGGCTCTCCAGGTCCTTCCGGTCCCCAAGGATTTAATGGGTCTCAAGGGGCTCCAGGTATTCAGGGTTCCCAAGGTTACAATGGATCACAGGGGCCGCCAGGTCCAGTCGGTCCACAAGGTTTCAATGGCTCTCAAGGTCTTCCCGGTCCTGTTGGTCCGCAAGGATATAATGGATCACAGGGACCACCAGGTCTTACCGGACCTCAAGGTTTTAATGGGTCGCAAGGCCCTCCTGGTCCTGTTGGTCCGCAAGGATATAATGGATCGCAGGGACCGCGAGGCTACAACGGATCACAGGGTCCTCCAGGTCCGGTTGGTCCACAAGGCTTTAATGGCTCTCAGGGTCCACCCGGTCGTAGTGGATCTGCAGACTTCAGCCAATGTGTGTATAAATTTAAAACAACGTCTGGTACATCTGATGTCAATGCATTCCTTACTTCTGAGATCCAAGAAGACATCGTAAGTTGAGATTTATATAATTAATTATTGCTTTATCATTGGTTTTATTTGTTACTTTGGTAAGTTTCAGTATATTACTGTTTTTGCCATGAAAAGAAAGTGACATCGTAATATTACTCTTCGAGTTTAATTTTTAAGTTACCGTATTCGAGTGTGCTTTTTTAGCCTGAGACAACAGTCGACTTTTCGAGACACCACCACTGGTTTCTATTGACGTAATGTGTGAAGAACAAGCACAGAAATTCCATACTGATGAGGCGTCACAAATCAGATCTGAGTGGTTCTTTTGATTAGATCAATAAACTTTTCCACCAATTAAAAACACTACCCGGTTCTAAGTAGTGATTTTCATTCTCTGGGAAACCAGTGGTGGCATCGCGAATGTCGGCTGTTTTCCCCGGGCTGTTTTCTCAGGTTTCCAAAAGGAGGAATTAATCAGGGGGCTTTATGTCCGGCAGCCGGGAAGAGTCTTAAAAAACTAAATGCCCGGCAGCAAGGAAATTTTCTAGAATTTCTGCAAAATCCCTTTTTCTAATCGTTTGAAAGTAGACCTTCAAATTAGCCGAAGCTGGTAAAAAGGGTTCAAAGAACATTTAAAGATATGATAAAGCAGACTACAGGATATTTAACTTGGATGAAAACGTACCCGTGAGTCACGCGCTGCTACTCATTGTCGAAACGGCGTCGACTCTACTCTATGCCCAATTAAAGAAACAGAAGAAACCACAACCGCTCATCTGTGAAGCCATTTTAATTTTCCTGATCGCTTGGTAATTCTAAACGAAGATAGAATACTTTCAAACGATTAGTAAAAGGAATTTTGCAGAAATTCTAGAAAATTTTCTGACCGCCGGGCATATCGCCACGGCGTTTCTTAAAATATGGCTAGATCTTATGCAAGAATGCTTCTTGCGAATAAGTTAACTATAACTAAGATTCATCGAAAAAAGCGAATGGGAGATTAGTCTGAATCTATCAGTCGGTTATATTGTTTTAGCCAAGATAAATTCTGCATTGCATGTGCTCTGGTATTGTTTCTACTTCGTTATCCGGCCGAATCGTCCCCAAGAGGTCATGCGATTTTCTATAAGATAGGTTTAGGCAGTAGTTCTTTCCACCAACTCTTCACACTACAAATTTAGATTCTGAGGTCCGAACACACTAGGCTAGGCAAGTTGCAGTAACAAGTCGCGGCGGCAGATCACTGCGTGTGTACAAGTTGGGCGACTAGTTGCAGCAACACGTTGCGGCGACACATCGCCTCGTTTACCGGAGAATTTATGTGAAAGTCTATGTTAATGCAACAAAATTTTGTCGCCGCAACAAGTCGCAAAAATTCTGTCTGACGGATTTGATTTTTTTTGTACATGTTGCTGCAGCAAAATTCTGTTGCGGAGACAAAGATTTTAACAAAAATTCTCCAGTACACACGAAGCAATTAATGCCGCCGCGACATGTTGCTGCAATTTGTCGCCTCTCTAGGGGTTTAAGGCCTGGGTCAAAGGTGTAAAGATAGCTAACTTTTTACGTTTGTGATGAATGTACGCGAAGTTTAAAATTAAAGTTTTCAATTATTGACGTGCAATGGACGGTTAGAAATATGCAATATGAATTGTTATCGCTTGATTTCGTTACTTAAAGCGGCCACCAATTGGTCAATAATAGACGATTTTTAGCAAAATGGTCACGTGGCTTATTAACACAAAATTTGTATCCGTTATGTTAAGGACAATGAGTTCTTTATGTGTGCCAAATTTTGATTCATTGCCATTATCTAGGCCGAAGTTGTAGGCTATAAATCATTTTCCACAGGTAAACCCCTTGGTCCCAGGCCTTAATCTACTTAAGCCGGTGTGTACCGACCTTAAAAAGTAGATTTCCTTCTACACGTGCACCTGCTAATGTCGAGAAACATTAAGTTTCCTTAGTTATTTAGTTATTGAAATTTATATGTCAATTAAAGCCATTGTTTAAGGTCTATTTACAATGTCACAGCAAAACAAAACCATGAACGAACTTAACTTATTCTAATTAAATTTCTCTTTTAGGATAAAAAGATCATAGCTGCAGTTTGCTCCACTGACGATGCGCAGCAGTATCTACTGAGTAGCTATATTTTACAAGGTGTTCGCAATTACATTTGCGAATGCAAAGGTAGCGTGACAAATGGTACCGCTACTTCTTTACAATGTCACATTCACTACTGGGAATGCCCTCTTGTGACGTAACGGAGTTCAAATTAGTAAGAGTAAGACTATAAAGACTAGATTTATGGAATTATTAATAATTTATTACTTCGGTGTTTTTTTTGTTAAGCTTTGATAAAAAAAACTCGAGCTTGTATTCATACCGCTGTGTGAACGTTCCATTTGTAAGATCACGATAAATCAAATAAATAATACAGTGTGTTTCGCAATTTTTCCTTGTTAATGTTATCGGCAAAAGTTATATTTAAATTTCAACAAAAGCAATATCGATATCGATACTGGCCAATATTGAACAAGATACAATCATTTAAAACTATAAAATGTACTAATAGCGGAGCTCTCGCGCGCGAAGTGCGCGCAGTGGAGCACCATGGGTAAAAAATGTTGTAAACTACCCATCCGAGAAAATTTGGTAATCACGTGACCGCACACCGACCGACCGCCCGCCCAACCGTCCGTCGGCACCGCAGGCATACCAATGTAAAATAATTCAATCAACAGGTATGGCAACACAAGTGCAACTCAAGGTTTTTTTCCGAAAAGAAATCGAATGGCCCCCCGAACTGTTAGAAAGAAAAAACAACAACAAAGTAGTGTCTTTTTCGACGGCGAAATGCGATGCATTGAACCGAAAATTCTAGAAATTTCGTTGGAAAGAAAACTTCAGGGAAAACGTTTTCCAAAATTTAGGTACATCTCACGAGGTTGTACTTTGTTTTGGAAAGTTTGGAAAATCCTGTTCCATTCGCTACTGGAAAAAATGGACGTTTTCGTTGAATGGAAAGCGCTTCCCGCCCCCCTCGGTTTGAGACTAACTAGGCAATTCAAGACAAATCGATGACAATTTCTTTGGTGCAAAAATAGACACATTATTACTTTAAAGCAGGAGCCATAATGGGGCTGACACAGAAAGCAATGAAATGAAAATGAAGATAATGGAAAAAAAACGAAATTGTGCACTTGGAAAGTTTAAAGGGTGAGGGCCGCATCCGTTATATGGAGGTGACCGCTTTATACAGGTTAACTTTAGAGACTTAAACTGCCGCCTGATTAGCTCAGTTGGGAGAGCGCCGGTCTGCTGAGGGGAGGTGGTCTGTGGTTCGCCTGTGTTTTGTCACCTTTGGTTTGTCACTTTCTTTGTAAGACAACCCAAGGTACTTGAGGTAGTCTAGGTACTATGAAGTAGCTTCAGCACTTACTGGTCTTCTTACTATAAAAGTACTCGACCAGAGTAGACCAGATAGTCTTGAAGGGACCAAAACATTAATCCCCAACAATACACATACCACTCCAAAGTTGGTCAGTTTTAATATTCCTTATGTGTTTTTTAATTTTTTAAAGAATAGTGGTTATCCCCCAAACAAATGCCACCTCTCGGGCAGAGCAGTCTTGCACTTAAACCCCGCAATGCGTTTTAGGCTTCGCAGCGGAGGACAAAAACAATAGTTTTCTCATTTTATATTTTTTCAATAAAATTTCACACAAGCGGAAAACTGGGAACGATTTGTCCCAATCTTCCCGGCTGACGCCTGACTGATTTCATTGAATGTTACCGTTCAAAAATTTATCGCTTCACTGAATTCATTGTAAAGCAAAGAATTTCCTTTGTAAAGGTGTTACCCAATCTTCAGAAATCACGGTAATGTATTTGAAAGATATTTTGATGGTATTGCAGGCCATTATGATATCGAACTACCTGGGAAGAAAGTGTGCTGGAATTCAAACGAATCCGTAGTTCGTTTGAATCGACATTCTCAGCTGCATTTCTCCCTGCTTCAAGAGGTAAGAACATTAGGAAACACTGTGATGCATCTTTTGCTGCCTGCATCTTAGGTGGAAATGAAGCGATGGAGCCCGGCAAAAGAAATGTAAGTACAATTGTGAACAGAAATAGAGAGTTGCCCATTTATTAATTTGCATATTTCTGGGAGCCTTGTTGGTTAATGTACATGCATTCTGGACTGCAATGCTGCCTTTTTTAATGATTAATATTTATTTGCTTTTTATGTATCTCTATTGCTTCTACTAAGAACTCTAGCGTTAAAAAAGTGCATTGGAACCGGTCAGTATAAAACACTGACTGCGGACCATAGACTGTGGACTCGGTATAAAACACGGGCCAGGTATAAAATGCGGACTCTGGACTGAGTAAAAACACGGACCAGGTATAAAATGCAGACTACGGACTATGTATATAAAAACAGCTTTAGAGAGGTAAAACTGAGAGAAACGGATAGCAGACTAGCATAAAACAGTAGTCCCAGCTCCTTGTCTCACACACAAACATTCCTTTAGCTGGTCACACAGTCTATTCTCCGTAACGTCAGTGTCATGTGGAGAAGAAAAGCATCCTGCACGGACAAGGGAGGTTATATGCGGCTACTCAAGGCAACGGAAATTAAACTCTGAATTTTACAAAAAGAAGGATTTAGAAGAGAATTTAATTTATAGTTTTAAACCAATAAGAACAGTCTGAAGAAGCACTGGATATAAAAAAATAGTATTGGTGTTAGTCATAGTAAAATTGTTATAGATGCCACTATTCCGTTTTAAATAAAGCCTTGGGAATATGAAGAAATGAAGAACTCGGATGAGAAGGTCAATATAGGGGCATTCTGCGATGCAAAGAAGCACTATTAATGCACCTATACATGAATAATAATTGAAATGAATCATCCAATGTTATATATATTCTAAGCGATGATTATGATGACATGATTTACACCCTGCACCTGATCCCTAGAGGGGGATACTACTGGTAATTCTTGGTGAGGGTGTGCTGCCCAGTTCTCCAAATCCTGACCCTATTTCAGACCAAAAAAATTTAATTTTCCACACCCGTTTTCAGACCAGATCTCTAAAACCCATACCTATTTTCAGACTGTTCCAGGCTCTCAGATTGTGAGGGAGACCCTCCAGTTTCCTCCCGTTTCGTGTTTGTGCTTTCTCAGTTCAGCGGACCCAACTATCTTGGAGCCTGGAACAGGCTAGCCCGAATTAGGTAGAATTATGTCATCATTACCAAATTAGAGCGCAAATAAAAAAATTCTTCAAATGCATTTCGAATTCACATAATTCTATTTTGTTCTTATTCATTTGGAACTGAAACGATAAATACATGAATCATACATGTATGCTCCAGGTAGTTTCCTCGAAAACCATACCTGATTTCAGACCAAAATGGCCAAAGTGTTTTCAGACCAAAAGGCCCATAGACTCTACCCTTTGAATGCAGCGGTCCACGCAACACGTAAATATAACTGACTGGTTCCTCTTGCCGGATCTCAAATTAAAGGGATGCTGTAGCCAGACGTCACCCAAAGTGTAAAATAAAACAAAACTGAATGCAAGGCTGGCACTACGGCAAAGGGCCTATTTATTATAGGCCAATATTTTGGCTAACAAAATTAGCCTTCCTCAGGGCCAGAGCTATACCGAGAAAAAATATGTTTTAACGGCTCATAAAATTTGTATTTAAAATTCACATAAGTGGTTAATAATTAGCTACAATTATAAATACTAGATAGAATAATATACAGGTAAATATTGGAAATATTGGCCTATAATAAATCAGCCCTTTGCCATAGTGCCAGCCTTGCATTCAGTTTTGTTTTACCTATGTATATGGCTCATATAAGGGAGTACCCCCGGGTCCTGACCCATTTCATAATTGTTAGTGATCGAGACCAGGTCTAAAAATGGGTGAAGAAAATAGCATTTTTGTCAGGCTCATGATTCAGAGAACCGGGCACCACAACTGAAACTCACATGTCTTGCTATCTAGGGATCTTTTGATCCTAATTTTTCTTTAATACCTACCTGAACCAATTAGAACCGTTTTTACCAACATAGTCCATAGTCGGTATTTTATACCAAGTCCGCAGTCCGCAGTCTGCATTTTATACCTAATCCGTGTTTCATACCCAGTCGGTATTATTCAGTCCGCATTTTATACCTAGTCTGTATTTTATACCCTGTCCTCAGTCCGTAGTCTGCAGTCTGCAGTCCATATTTTATACTGACCGGCATTGGAACACATATACTTTTGAAAAGTAATGAAAACAATAATAACACTCAATGTTATGTGGCCAGGTATTCTGTAGTGTTAATGGCAGTCACTCAATGTCTTTTCAGTTTCATGGAGGGCCTCTTAAGAACCTCATTCATTTTGTTGTTGGTTTTCATCAACAGCCTTGTGGATGATGTAATTCTCACAATTTATGAATATATAACATATGTTAAAATGTTAAACTATGACAAGGATCGAGATCAACCAATGACATTTTGTGTCTTCATAGCCAATAACATCACAGCTTAACTGACAGATGACCCATAACATCATGACTTGATTGAACAATCAGGTCATTAACCAGAGTTAAATACCATCAGCTCGGCACAAGTTGTCAAAACATCGGTCACTGTCAACAACAGTCCTATTCAGGACGACATTCACCCAGACAATCATGCTCAATGTACTTAATATAACATTATAATGAATTTATAAATGAAATGTTTTTTTTTTTTCACAAACCTATCTGAATTTCTTGGTCAATTTTCACTGACAGCCCTCCAAATATTGTTGTTCTTGTAAATGTTGGCAATTTTTGGCTTGAGGCTGGTTGGTTTATGTACCTGAAATTTTTACTGTGTTAAATCCAGGACATATAATTATTTCAGCTTTGTTTCCACATTGTCTTCTGGTTTCTTTTGATCATCCGAGGAAGGCATCTAACAGGATGCAAAACGATTAGAGCAGCACCATTGCTGGAGCACAGTCTCATTGAGAATAAGCAAAATAAATGCAAACATATATGTATCTATATTCACAGGGACTGTAGAGAGGGTGGAACTTAAGATGGTAGGAGTAATAACATAATATTGTGTTGTTTGGTCTATTTTTGATAACATTTAATTAACTACAAAAATAACTTCTTACAGTCACACCAGGTCAAGTGTACCCCGCATAGATTCTGTCAATGAATCAATTATTATTTGAAAAATGAATCTGTTTGAAGTATCAA